GGTTCGAATCTCGTGTTGCGGGATCGCGGATGCGCACTGCTGAGGAGTCCCACAATAGAACGAAACAGCTGTCCAGTGCTTCCAGGTTTTCCATGATGGTCTAGCTTCAATTGACTCATGATCTCGACCATTGAAAATAATAAGTAATTCCTGTGTAAGATGGAGGAGTGTATGCATGCATAAATACCTTTTTTAGTTCGTAGTTGTCTCATCATTCCATAACCAATTATTCGATCTGTTCTGTCTTGCAAGAAACCACGTTGGAACAAAGGTGGATTACGATTATACCATCGATCTGCACGCAAGCCAGGAATTAGAACATTCTGGGCCCATTTATAGAAATCGTCCACATCATTCATCTGTCAATAAAAACATATTACCTCCGAAATGAAGTGTGTGTTAATTAAAACCTCTATTTAATTTGTAAATATACATTTTAAAATTACTAGTATATAATAGTTTAAATGATACTCCTGAAGTTTTCATCTTAATCAAACTTCATTTGAAACCAAAGTTCCACTGTGTTATAGTTGATCTCTTCAATAATCAAATATAGATTCACGAGACTCTTAATTTAAAGTGGTCAATATAAGCACATTTTCAATTATATGAATATATCATTAACATGCAGTAACATAATATTGGTTCCATAAATGAATAGACTTGAAGTCGTAATACAAGCAATTCCTAAAGCAGGTTTTTATATTTACTCAATATTACAGTCAAGTAATCGAGCATATAAAACTGAACAGAGCAATTACCTTATTTTATGATAAACCAGAATTTATAAAATTCGATGATTATTCAATAAAATATACTTAACGTCCTTGTTAAATTAGATTTAACAGTGACAAACTCCTATTGTGTACTTGTACATTAATAAATAAAACTAGAATACAAACTCTGGAGAACTTCTACATGAAGTTTGTGTTGATGATATTGTTCAAAAGAACGATGACAACTTCATGACCAAACCATTCGGCTTAGAGAACAAAATTCCGTTAAAATCTAGAGAACTTGTTCAAAATATTAGCTTTTTAAGACATGTTTAAATTTTATGTAATCAGCATCCATAAATTAGCTCTTGATTAGATTATACCTTCTTCTTAATAATCATCATAAACTATAATTCATTATATCATTCCTTTATTGTGGATAACTACTGACTAATTTACTGGTCCATTTAATCTTTTCTAAACGTAAACTTGTAAATCAATAAAATCAAAGTTTAGCAAGTGATAAATCAGTTGGTTAGTTACAAAGTTGCACAATTTTTTTTCTCATTAAGACAGTGATTAGAAAATTGTAAATTTTTGATGTTCATGAAATAATTGTGAATTTGAAGACTATTCAGCTCATAATAGTAGACTTAGAGTAAATAAATAAATGACAATATCATTTCGTCCATGGTAGAACGTAAAATAATTGATTGTTCGTTATCACTTTACAGCAACTGTTTACAACTAAATATAGTTTCTTTTTTGCTACTATTATGACTTTCTTCTAATTTGTGAGAGGATATCAACATATGGAAAGTACCAGTGTGATCCTTAACAAAATTTAAGTTAGTTAATTAGCCACTTAACAGATATAGTTTTTATTTGAGGTTTTGGCAATAATCTGACAAAGTCAATAAAGTTACACCTGGTTTTTAGGAAACTCATATGTTCTATCCCTAAAACATGAACTATTTTTATAAACACCTATAACTTGCTGATTGGTCTCTAAATAAATTGAATGGAAATTAACGATTTTCAGAAGCGTATTTCTTCCTAATATCCTGTGGACGATTTGTTATCAACTACCGATGATAAATCATAGCCCCCATTCTCCTTACGAAAATATGTTGAGTCAAAATATCTAGCCGTTGTTGAAGTGTGGGCTTTTTGTTCAGGTCTCCCAATGAGGTCGTTATTTAACCTTTAATTTTTTTTATATAAGAGTTCATGATATATATTTTACAATACTCAGGGTTAACTAAAAAGTATCAACGTCTATCCAATGTTTCATGGTTTCCCGTTTTACTGTAACTGTATTTCATTTGTGATGAAAGTTGTCGTCAAAGAGAACTTGATCTCTTATTATAATTATCATTGTAGGAGAGATAGTATTTATTTAAATATAATTGTTGTAAGTAAACCAGTATTGTCTTCAAAATCTAGGAACAGCTACTTGCTTGTTTGTTTGGAAACCATTAGGTGATACTGAGTATAAATCGGGTATCAGACTAGATCCATAACTTCACATTTTCACATGGTTGCTTAGTATAAATGACTACATCAAATGATAATGTCTGAACTTTTTATTGTACAAGTGGCTTATCGTTTTCCGATTCCTCGAGACCATAATGACTAGCCCAATAAATAATTCAACTTATTGTCCTTCTGGTACCTACTAGTTGCCACACTAATCTGAAATACCGGAGTTGTTATTATCATTTAACGGCTTTTAAATAATAAATGCTTTATTCTGAAGTTTGTCAAGCATCATCGTGTCGTACAATTATCCCCCTAGCCTTCCTAAAAGATTTCGCTAGTTGTCTGACTTATCCGGCGGTAGGTAGAACTCAACAAGTATATATATATATATAGTTTACGGCCAGGAGTAAATAAGTGCCTTGAATAGTTTAAAGAACCGTTTAGGAAACCTAGTCAAAATCACAAAATAATCGTTTTTATATGAAAAGGCCTCTAGCAATTTAGAAAGTACTTACACTTTGAAATGAACTTGGAAAAAACAAATTTTGTAGACTAGATTTCAAGAGAAATCCATTAGCATCACGGAAATCTAAGCTGACAATTAGTAGCAATGTGAGAAAGAAAACGTAAAGTATAACTTCACGAATGATATCATTGGCTCTTCTTTGTTTTAGTCGATAAGCTCGAGCACGTGCCAAGTCTGATGGATCCGGCGGTAGGATTACCAAACGTTGTGGACGAAAATCATCAGATACTAAATATGAGACAAAAGTTTAGTCATGTAAAAAAAATAAAATTTTAGTGAGATAAAATCACTTTCTTTTCAAGTTATTATTTGAGTTACACTTTACAGAAAATTATACTCGCATTTCGTAAGCAACCAATGAAAAAATCTAAATTAATATGTTTAATTGCTGAAGAGTACTACTAATACAATAATAATAATAATATCTCTACCCTAAACAACCATATTCCAGACAGAAATACTAATTTCATCATCACAGAAACATATATTGTGAAGTACCGTTAAACAAAAGTTATGTTCCAAATACTTATTTACTTTCAAAGTGTAGTATCTCTACAGAAGCAGATGTTATTGAAGTTTTCCAATATTTCATTGACGGCAAAGTTCTCAGCTAACTGTTATATCTGAAATACTGTGAAGTTTCTTTCTCCTAATTACATTTAGCTGATGAACGTGGCTTACATCACTAGGAATTTATAATACAGCGGATATATGTGTATATCATAATCTTATAGGTTTAAAGTCACCAACACAAGTAAGGTGTCTACTATCGTTTTTTTTCATACTGCGGCACCTGCTGAAAATGATAAGAATCTTTCTCTCTGCAATCCATTAAGTGCCTGCATAGCTTACTAAGAATACTCGTCAGTTAACATGACGCTCACAACTTAAGCTGATAAGCACGTTTATGAAGAAGTATCATGTAAATCAAAATTGGCTTTAATCTTAGCAAAGAATTTACAATTACAAAAGCTTTTTCACATACGGTAGTTATTATTTAAGTATTCTCTATCCATTCGAAGTTGATACCGCTTTCCTAATGTTTGGATTATTCGATCTTCTTCTTCAAAAATTTCTATTTGATCTACTCGATCAGTTGATTTACAAATGAATGAAAAGAACACGGCTAGCAGTAGTACCTGTAGAAATTAGGGGAAAATTTGAAGGAAATAACAAATGTATCTCTAAGTAATTCTTATTTAATAATATAAATAGCCTACATTATTATGATTATCATGATCATCATTCTATTCTTAAGCTGGTTTTAGATGAACTTTCCAAGAATATTATTTAAAATCATTGTCTGATCAGAATAGGAATTAAGATGGCTTCAAGAAATATGTAGATTCCCTTTCATCAATCTTTGCGATTGACACGCACTGGCATAACCGGTAACTCTACGTAGAAATTTGAACTATATTAAACTATGAGCAACAATTTATTCGAGTACATCTCTCAAAAGCGTTTGACTACTCTGAGGGCAAAGGATTTTTTAAATTCTTTTAAAAAACAGTGTCAAAATCGGCACTTTTAAGTTATTTTAAATATCTTTTTGAGAGTTTGTCACTAAGCCATCGGTCATTCATTATGAATTCACTGTTGTAGAGAAAACTAAACTCCATAATGTTTGCCGAGTAACATTTGACCCTGCAAAGGAATCGACTTTGTGAACATTAGACTATGTGTATTTGGGATCATATTCCAATGCGAAAAAAACTGGTAGATGAATTGTGGAGAGTATACACAACTTGGTCATCGGATAACTGAATTATAAAAATCAATGACCACAGGAATGATTAAAAGCAAATATTTTACAAACCTTTAGATGATGATTAAATGGAAACCAGGAGTCTATTTTTTAGTACGGTTGACAGCTCCAAATATAATGTATTGTAAGAAGGTATCCAGTATACACTTTTCGGGAAGTTATTTTAATCAAAAATATTAGGGTATATTGTACCTGAGAATGAACGGACGATTGATGAATAGTGTGCGGATCTTAAAGTATATTTAGATAACTATTTTACTCTCAATCTCTATAGTCACCAAATTTTCCACAAAATACTACCGATCAGTACCACGCATAAGGATCAAATTAAGACAAAAGTGTGTGATGCACATAAATATAAGTAATTGAATACTGGCTGCACCGACGTTTGTATTTAATCAACCTAATCATTAGTGACTGATGATAAGGAAGAGTGAGGCTTATGTTAAAGTAGTTGGTTTTGAGAAAATCCAACGTATATTGTGCCTTTTTTTAATTGTCTACAAATAGCCTTACTATTTGGTACCACAGACAGCATTGAAAGATGATTGCAATATTAATGCAATCACTACCATTTTTGCCTGATTCTTTGTTATCTGATGTGACTCAGTCAATAAAAGTGACTACTCAAGGTTCATATTACTACAATCCATTTGACAGAAGTTCTTATTAATTAATATAGGTAACGTATATATCACTTAACTTATTCAGAGATATATTTCACCTTGACCCTAATGTTTTATGAAAGATCAGGTTTACTTTACAAATACTTCTACAACATGACATATTTTCAGTTACTGAGATATTTTATAACAATTAAAACTAAATAAACGCAATCAATAAATATTGACTGAAAAAAAATTCTTATGTGTAAAAGGAAGCAACTAAGTATACCTTTATTGGTTGAGCTAGAAGTACACTTATAAAGAATGATAGAAACAATGATGACAGCCATTTTTTACATGTAGCTTCACCAAACATCACACCATAGAATGTTGTAAAAGTGACAGCTATACCCAAACATATGATAAGAAGTAACCAAGCGAAAATACGCATTTGCCATCCACAAAACAAAGTTCGTCCTTTTTCTTTACCTTCAGTATCGTCAGCATTTTCAGCCAGAGCCTCACGGCTATATCGAAATAAATAAAAGGAAGACGAAAATCAACTTGTGTTAGAGGAAATTCAGCTGATGTTTTTACTAACTGAGCATTTTGTGCCACCGCCTTATGTGCCTTTATTTGTTATGCTTGGTCATTTAAATGTTTGTAGACAGCTTTTAGCTGGAAGTAACATCAACCAAAAGATTATTCAGAGGTAACTAAACTTTGAACAGTTATTGTAGCCATCCTTCAGACTCAGATTTGTAGAATTTTATATATGAGTTAGATTCTAAGATAATTCCTGTTCAAAAACTTTTTAAGCTGACGGGAAACTTTAAATCACTGACCTATCTCATCAAATCTGATAACCCTGGTCTGGGTTTGGTCTACATTCTCACACCTAGATCTCCTACCACTGTCAAACTTTGTTTTCTAATGGATTGAGTATTCTCGTGTTTCACATAACGTCATAACAGTACTTTATTTTCTTTCCAGTTGATGTTGATCCTTGAACTACAACTTCGTATTAACTAAAACCTTCTAGCTAGAAAATCAATATTCATAACTATATAGATAGAGCAGGGCAACTATGAAAATCATTACTCTGAAACATGAACGTCAATAAAGCTTTCAAGTAAATGGAATTATGCATTGAAGAATAGCAAGACTAGCAGTGTAGCCAAGTACATATGAAAATGTTACTACTGTTAAATGCCGTTCAAGTTATTTATAGTGTTGGATATCAACTCGGTATCTAGATGAAGTTACATTACATTTCTCAACACTACAAACACCTAAAAAAATCTGGGTTATTTAGACATTATTAACTAATCCACAAGATTGTTTGTGATCTGTTGCTCAATAACTGAAGCAATCTATAGTTCTTTTGCTCCATGAGTCACAAATATTTCTTTTAATATTCTTTTTGTTAGTCATTTTTAGATATTATCAATAATGATAACAGTACTGTAGTTAGTCGGAATTTACAGTTTTAAATGTGAATAGAAATGTCCATATCGAGTTTTCGAAAACATTTTAATACTGATAAATGTATTTATATGAAAAATGTATGCCAATGTTTTCTTTTGTAGTAAGCACCTGTGACTAGATTAATCCATCTGAGGGTCTATATTTTCTGAGATTTATTGGATTTTCTGAGTCTTATCCCTTTATACTGAAGACCAACAGAAGTATATAAACTCTGATTTTCTGAACAAGATGAAAATACTCATAATAGTATTGACTGAATTAATCAGATTTTATAGCCATTCATTAGTCTGGACACTAGCTTCGGCTGTTACGATTATAGATTGACTCAGATGATTGCTGAAAAGTATGCGACAAAATATGTTGACTCACTCCAAGGTACCACAGATAGAAAGACTAGCTACTCCATTAGTTTACAGCTAAAACAATAAACGAACTTACTCATCATTTTTGCTTGTATCTTGTATTGCTGACTGAGTACTATAAATAAATGAAGCTTTTCCAATATATAGTTTTTCATCTAAATGTTCTTCAATAGCATGGCGTAATTTCGTTGCATGACTAACCCGTAAACGTGAATTACGAAATATATAAATGATTAAAAACAATGGAATGAATGTAAGCAGATTGTTGACAATAGCTACATAAAACTATGGAGAGAAAACAGGTGGAAAGAAGAAAAACACACAAATAAAAGTTAATATTTATAACTGCAAGGTAGAAAAAGTGATCGGTTAGACTAAAAAATGTCAACTTATTTTGGCTCAGATACGATTTGGAGTTGAGTAAAAGAGTTACAAATTAACTGCACAGTCAGGATAATATAAAGCTTCTAGTTTAGTTATATAAAAGAATGATCATTGACAAATATAAATTTTAATTATAATACCTTCAGTATGCTATGAAATAATATGAATTCTAGTCCAGTGAATTTAATATATCATAAATTTATTGGTAAAGTACAATTTGAAGGGGTATTTATCCTCTTGAATATTCTGGTGGTACACTAATTAACTTCTTTGTAGCATACTCTGAAAATCATCATGAGAGGATATTTGTCTCGGCTGAATGCTACTTTTTAACCACTGAATAAATCGTCAGTTTATATCAGTCTGTAAGAAACTTAGATTAAATGTATCGCTATGTATTTAGTAGAATTCTTTAGTTTATCTACTCATTATAATAAACTGCCATCGGCTGGACACATTAAAAAACAAGTAATCCTGGAAATTTATTATGTGTTATAGTAAGACTTTATGGTGATATTCTGCTGACTTCAAACAATAAGAAAATCGGAATTCTGAGTCTATATACGAAATGTACTACTCAAAAAATCAATAGATGTTGAATTCTCAGCTGATACTTTCAATATAAATCAAATGAAATGATAACGAAAATCAGTAATTACTTTCCAACATATATTGATAACTAGTACAAGGAATAGTTCCTTGAAGTTTTACTGAGAAATCATGACTTACTGAGTCAAATAATCACCTTTAGATGGTCATCAAGTACCTTATACGGAGAAATGAGACATATCACTGGAGAGTTAGTTAAATATTAACATGAAAATAATGCTCTATAAGTTACACACTTTTTACAGCTTCTCTTTACTTGACAATAAGATCTGACAAAAACACTTCCTAATCAAATAAAACTTCAAAGGCTGTTATAAACAGCACACATGTGACAATAATATACAAGGCTTATAATCTACTGCAATAAATTAATTTGTATTTCTTTTTGAATGTAATTCGTCATCATATAAATTATGTAGATGATACCAGTGAATAAAATGTACTGTCCTATTGTCATTTACAGCTTTTAAACATATAATCATATTCAGTGTGGTAAATATTTCTTCTACCAGTTAGTTACCATATTTCATTTAACTCATGTAATGTAATCAGAGTAACAGTAATAGATCAAACATTATGAAATACTGATTTATTTATGAGTAGATTTCTAAATAATGGATAAATATAACGTTTAATTATTGAGCAAGCCTATAAACAAGGTTGAAAATTCTGTAGTCAATCTAGTATTCAAAACGTTTATTCATCAAAGTAGTTAATACTGCATAACCATATCAAACGAAAAACTACGAATGTCTATAAAACATTTGAAGCTTCTTGTATCTTCAAGCAGTCTAGCTCAGTGATCGTAATGTTTTCGAGATCAAAATATTATGAAGTTATTTAACCAATATATAGTGAATAACAATCCAAACCTTTAATTGACTCAATTTGTATGACATTTCATTGATCAATAATAGGTCCTTTTCATGAGAATGTACATTTGGAACTTCAGTAGAGCATAATCAAATTTTAGAGAAAGAAATAAGTAAACAAAATAAGACGACTACTAGTGGCATCGATGAACGTTCGCGTCAAATTGGTACGCAATTGAATTCAAAAACATATCAACCATTTGATTTCTAACCGGTAAATCACTTGTCAAGTGTGTTTTACGTTCCGTTTCTTTATTCACTTACCTTCAACTCTTTTGTGTATTGTTTTATACTACTTATTATTATTCAGTTAACAATTTCTACGTGTATGTCATAACGCAAGTTTACAGTGTAATATTTTAAAATGTTTACATATTCTTATAACATTTATTGTATTTATCATTATAATTACTTTATTTCAATCCCTGTAGCAGTTATTTTCAGTTTTTGAATGGTCGTTTAATGATTGTTTTAAAACAACAGTTTCCATGTTGTTTCCTCCTGGTTCAACTCCGCCTGGAGTCCGTCCGAGGGCTACTGCCGGTCCCAAGACCGGATAAGGGAGGACGGTCGGGCATGGGGTTAGCGTCCCCATCCCGTAGAAAACTAACTCGCTAAAAAAACGATAACCAGAAAAAATTATTCAAACTTTTTAAACTCTGCCCTGCGATTCGGAAGTTCTTCATTTAGAAGAGTTATGACGCCTCATGATGAAAGCCGAATTCCTTCGGAAGTCACGAGGTCGATGCCCCTTCTGACAACCAGAGCAAAACATTTTATAGGTACATGGAATACTCGTACAATGTGGGACACCGGGAGAGTCTTCCAAATTGCTGCAAAAATGAGGAGGTACAACCTAGAGGTGCTTGGGATAAGTGAAACACATTGGACGCAATTTGGACAACAACGACTAGCTTCAGGAGAGCTCCTGTTATACTCCGGCCATGAAGAAGAAAATGCCCCACATACACAAGGAGTTGCATTGATGCTGTCCAAACAGGCACAAGATGCACTTATAGGATGGGAATCTCATGGACTAAGGATCATCAAAGCCTCGTTCAAAACAAAGAAAGATGGCATTTCAATGAACAGCATCCAATGCTATGCACCTAAAAACGACCACAATGACACGACGACGACACGGACTGGAAGAAAGGAACGAAAATGGTGAGAGATTTGCAAACCTATGTGCCTTCAATAAACTGGTCATAGGCAGTACTATATTCCCACATAAGCGCATTCACAAAATCACATGGACTTCACCGGATCACACCACACAAAATCAAATCGACCATATCTGCATCAACAAAAAGTTCAGGAGGACGATGGAAGACGTGAGAACCAAGAGAGAAGCTGATATAGCGTCAGATCATCACTTGCTGGTCGCCAAGATGAAATTGAAACTCAAAAAGCACTGGACAACGGGGCAGACAGTATCACAGAAGTTCAATACGGCCTTTCTTCGGGATACTGACAAACTCAACGAATTCAAGACAGTCCTCAGCAATAAGTTCCAGGCCTATCATGATCTACTCAACGGAGGAGGAACTACTATGGAGAGCAACTGGAAGGGGATCGAAGAAGCAATCACTTCAACATCCCATGAGGTTCTGAGCCACAAGAAACACCATCACAAGGAATGGATCACTGTTGATACACTGGATAAGATTCAAGAAAGGAGGGACAAGAAGGCAGCAATCAATACCAGCCGAACAAGAGCAGAAAAAGCCAAGGCACAAGCTGAATACACAGAAGTAAACAAACAAGTGAAGAGGAGCACCAGAACCGACAAACGTTAATATGTGGAAGATTTAGCAACGACAGCGGAAAAGGCTACAAGAGAAGGAAACATGAATCAACTGTGTGACACGACAAAGAAACTGTCTGGAAATCACCGTAAACCGGAGCGACCAGTAAAAAGCAAGGAAGGCGAGGTAATCACCAACATTGAAGAACAACGAAACAGGTGGGTAGAACACTTCAAAGAACTCTTGAATCGAGCAGCCCCACTGAACCCACTCAATACCGAAGCAGCACCCACGGACCTCCCAATCAATGTTGGCCCACCAACAATTGAAGAAATCAGCATGGCCGTCAGGCAAATCAAGAGTGGCAAAGCAGCGGGACCAGACAACATTCCAGCAGAGTCACTGAAAGCAGACGTAGCAGTAACTGCAAGGATACTCCACATGCTCTTCAATAAGATTTGGGATGAGGAACAAGTACCAACAGACTGGAAAGAAGGACTTCTGATCAAAATACCAAAGAAAGGTAATCTCAGCAACTGTGATAACTACAGGGGCATCACTCTTCTCTCAATACCGGGAAACGTCCTCAACAGGGTATTGTTAAACAGGATGAAGGACTGCGTAGACGTACAACTTCGTGACCAACAGGCAGGATTCCGTAAGGATAGATCGTGTACAGACCAAATCGCAGCTCTACGGATCATTGTAGAATAATCAATTGAATGGAATTCATCACTGTACATCAACTTCATTGACTACGAAAAAGCATTTGACAGCGTGGATAGGACAACACTATGGAAGCTTCTTCGACACTACGGCATGCCTCAGAAGATAGTCAATGTCATACAAAATTCCTATGATGGATGAAACTGCAAAATTGTGCATGGAGGACAGTTGACAAAGTCGTTCGAGGTAAAAACCGGTGTCAGGCATGGTTGCTTACTCTCACCCTTTCTCCTGGTGATCAACTGGATCATGAAGACGTCAACATCTGAAGGGAAACACAGGATACAATGGACATCTAGGATGCAGTTAGACGATCTAGACTTCACAGATGATCTGGCCCTCCTATTCCAAACGCAACAACAAATGCGGGAGACGACCAGTGTAGCAGCAGCCTCAGCAGCAGTAGGTCTCAATACAACACAGCATGCACCAATTCAATCACAATTGACGGAGAAGATTTGGAAGATGTAAAAACCTTTACGTATTTGGGCAGCATCATTGATGAACATGGCGGATCTGATGCAGATGTGAAGGTGCGGATCGGCAAAGCAAGAGCAGCATATTTATAGCTGAGGAACATCTTGAACTCGAAGCAACTGTCAACCAACACCAAGGTCAGAATTTTCAATACAAATGTCAAGACAGTTCTACTGTATGGGGCGGAAACCTGGAGAACTATGAAAGCCGTCATCTAGAAAATACAAGTGTTTATTAACGGTTGTCTACACAAAATACTTCGGATCCGTTGGACGGACACTATTAGCAACAACCAACTGTGGGAAAGAACAAACCAGATCCCAGCGGAGGAAGAAATCAGGAAGAAGCACTGGAAGTGGATAGGACACACATTGAGGAAAGCACCCAACTGTGTCACAAGACAAGCCCTCACATGGAATCCTCAAGGCCAAAGGAGGAGAGGAAGACCAAAGAACACATTATGCCGGGAAATGGAGATAGACATGAGAAAAATGAACAAGAATTGGATGGAGCTAGAAAAGAAGGCCCAGGACAGAGTGGGTTGGAGAATGCTGGTCGGTGGCCTGTGCTCCATTAGGAGTAACAGGCGTAAGTAAGTAAGTTGCTCTTGGTTCATTTTTGCACGTTGATAAACTGTTATCAAGCTTAAACACAGCTAACAGCTGTCGTTTGCACTACACTACGTTGTGACTATTCTTTATGTTATTATTGTGGGGAACCTTTTTATTTCAGACTTACAGACTGTCAAGGCGCCACAGATACACCACAAGTTTAGGTTTGTAGCTAATTTATATATATTACTTAATAAAGAACCGATTTTTAGGTAAATCGCTGTTTTCTGAACTTCGATTTTGCGCGTATATCAATTGTGTGATTTAGACGTTTCGATAGATTTAACAACACCGGTGAATTGGTGAATCAACGTTTTTCTAGAAAAAATAAAGATGTGTATCTCTTTGTTACAAACAGTTTCAGATACATTCTGATCTAGATTAGTGAATGTTTTTTGTTATTAATGGATAATTACAAAATATTAACTAACCTCTGTGGGAGTGAATCCAAATGGTCCAAGACTAATTAAATTTGGCTGTTTGACAGATCCTTCACCTTTGTAAAACATGCATGAACCAAGCATAGATAGATAAAGTAAAAGTAAACAACAGGCAACTCTTTCCACTCTTGTAAATCGACTGAATATTGGACGAGCTACAACTGATATCCATAAATGATCGTCAGTCATATTTCGAGATGCTGTTGTGCTGAACATGTGTATAAATGTTAACATTTCTTCTTGACTTGTTACAGGAATAATACGATCCACCTAAATAATATTTTAACATAGACAATAAATACTTTTACTAATAAATGAATCGAGGTTTGTAAAACGAAGTATTTTTGTTTTTCTACAATGGGTACAGTAAATATAAAGATGTTTGCCTGTCATTTATGTTTTTAGGAAGCCTTAAAATTAGATTAATGTAGATAACGATGTTCCACTAATAAATATCATTACTGTTCCTTCGCACTCTCGTGCTCAGTATTTAACATACAATACACAGGTTTTATGTGAATATTTCATACAACTAAAAACCATTATGGAGTTTATAAACAATTTTAAAACGTTCGTTTACTAGTTATAAGTAGTTCTAACACTACATGCTTACCTGCAGATTTAACAAGCTAGTGAGGGCCATTAAAGCTACTTTTGTACAACATATCCCAAACAAAGCTTTGAACGGACAATCATTTCACTCCACATAGATGTTTTATGGTTTACTTACAGGCAAACTGTCTGCCCAAAGAAACATTAGTGAAGTTCACTACCAGTTACATTTATTCTGGCATTCTTTTCACAACACTGTTATAATTTCTGCTACATAATTTTCATCACTTCTAGATAAATCTTCCTGCAAAGCTATTTAATATCTGAAACCTTATTAATCTGCTATGAAGTTATTTGTTAGAAAACAGAATATAAGTGATCATTATTCACATTGTATTATTTTATTCAATTGGCTATTAAAATATTTAATTCAATGTCTACATTTCCTCTGTACTCAGAAAATTATTACTAAGAAAGTTCCGAGTGTAAGATGGTGGTTCGAGGTAGTGAGCAGGAAACCTTGGACCCAGGTTTCGTGCTATTGGCACCCGTCAGCAAGGTGTACCTGGAATCTTGAGGGAACCGGTGCTCCATAACGGACCCGACCCCGTGTCACCCAGCTCCACAGTCAGAGACGTTACCACTAGGCTATCCGGGCCGTGGGTGACCTCCTGTAGGACTGAAATGTAATCACAATTGATTGATCACTGGGTGGTGATCAATGTCATGTGTGTCAAGTCCTTTTGGTGCACCACTTCCCTCAAGATTACAGGTACACCTTGCTGACGAGTGCCAAGTAGCACAAAACCCGGGTCCAGGGTTTCCTGTTAACTAACTCCAACCACCATCTTATCTCAGCATAGTGCACGCAATGTCGAGTCACCTAGACTAGTGGCCACATTGCAGCTTGGTCGATAGCATTTGATTTGCGCTAAGAAGGACTTGACACACATGACATTAATCACCAGCCAGGGATCAATCAATTGTGAAGTTTCGAGTGTGTTTATTATTTACCTTCATGATTACTACGGATACTGAAACGAAATTATAGTTATGATTAAAATATTAGACACAATTGGTTTCATCGTTGATAATGATTATGGTCAATGCTTCAACTTGTACTTTCGTTCAAGTATTCATTACAAATATTTCATCCTCCTTACAGTATAAGTTTAATATATCACAATTCTTAGTAGTTCAGATTTGATACTTGCAGTCATAACGAAACTAAGATGAAGCTCTTCATCACCTGTATCTTAAGAATCACAAATTATTTGGAGTGGATTGATTTAACTTATAATCAGGTTAAACAAATCTTGGATTCTCGATTGTTTTATCTAATTAGCTATATGTAAGAAATCATATTTGACTGAACTATGCTCTACTTGCTATTGATATTGTTTGATTTTATAAAAACTGATCTTTCCAACAGTCTTTTGTTGAAGGCAACTTGTTTGTCGATGACAAGAACATATACTGATGATATATGTCCTGAATAATAATCAATAATCAAGGCATGTAAAAAGTCATATTAGTGTTGGGGACGATAGATCTCCAAACTCATATTTTAAATTTTATCTTACCGATCATCTTATCGATTAAATGTTAGATATTTTTATTGGGGTCAATTGATGAACTATCGATTAAATGCGCAAATAGGTCAAGTGATGATCTATCGATTAAATGCGCAAATAGGCCAATTAATGAACTCATTGATTAATGTTTAAAAATTTTCCATCGATTGTAAATAATTGTATAAATACGCTTGACTTGTATGCTTGATCTGATCTGCCTGCCTGACTTGGTATCTGCTGCTGCTTGTAGAATACACTTTCTACGCCTTACCAAGACTTCTTGATCGAGTTAGCTGAGTCGAAGTCAACGGACCAGAATAGTCTATTGAGTGTCTGAATCCTGAGTTTTCGTTCCGTTTCCGAATAAGTCGAATCAGTAGTATCCTCAAGGTTAACCGAACCTAACAATTAGTTTGCTTAAAAAATTTACGGATATTAATTCAATTTTCGAATAGCATTTATAATGAGTCGACGTCAATTGTAGTAGAAATGGAAACCAGGAAACGCTAATGCTCCCTAATATTATTCTTCTAAGATCCTTGGAGAAGTGACAGATACTATTCATAAAAATCATTTTTAGACGATAGTAACATTCATTAATTCCATTTATTTTGACATATTTCTAACAATTTACCTGACCATCACCTTCTTCAACTGCAAACCAACTTTCAACAATAAAATGTGACTTTTCTCTAGTTTGTAAATCAACCACTCCAACATAATTGCAATACCACGATGCTTTATCACCTACACCAGAATTATCATGCCATAAACGTATGTAAATTAACGGCCCCAGCGGTCTGTATAATAAATAGTAGAGTAGTGGGACCTTTATAAGTTTCGTGGAAATATAATAGATGATGTTATCAATAAATTGCATAATTTTCGCACGTAACATTTATGAGTGATTATTTTAGTATAGACTTTTATATTACTAACTATAATTTAGTAATAAAAAGTTATACTTTCATAGTCTGGGAGTTACTATGGTTAGTTCATTTTCATAACAATTCGGTTGATCCAACCAGTAGTAGTGGTGTTGAGAACGAGAACAAAAGTAGGAACAAAAGAATACCTTGGTAAGATAGATGAACCATATATTGAATAGTCCATTTGCAAATTTCCATTATTTGTCCTTCACATTCTGTATGATTCTTCGTAATCTCAATCCCTTTATATTCTCTTCAATTTGATCTTCTTAGTCTTCTGCTACCAGGGTTTCCACTTTCGAATGGTGTTACATACTACTTGCGTATGTCGACATAAGTAACAAACACCCCAGTGACAGTTTCTTTTCAAAGTTAAATCATGTATTGAAGCTGACCGTCTACTAGCTAGTCAGAAAATTAATTTTATGTTACATAAAGTATATGTTAACTTTTTGAAAGTAAATCTGATCCCAATCTGAAATTTTTGAAATTTTCTAGCTTCAAACCGCTTTTATTAAATAACATTCGAATGTGTTCATTTTGAGATTCGATTACTGGAATTTTATTATGGTGTACATTGATCAACTGGTATATAAATTGTATACGGTCTTTTCTCTTTGGAACCTTTATGTAGATAATCATACTTCATGTAGTGAGAAATGTTAATTTCTCCGATATCAACTTTAACTTATATGGATTATTTTCCTGAATCAGAAAATAATTCTTGCTGTTTTGTTGATTCGTTGTATGCTCTTAACTGCATAGCAGTAGACATGGTAGACATACAAGAGTTTGCTTGTCAATCCTACTTCCTCAAATCTTTTACATAACATGTTATTTCTATTCAAGTTTTAATGTAACTGATAATTTGAGGGAATTTATTAACAATAGCTTATTTTAAACCAACTAACTAGTCTAATTAGCAAATAACCGGGATGAATACAAAGTAACTTGAAAATTTTACCAAAAACATTAATAGTACCTCCAGTTTTACTTTAAAGCTCTACAGACCATAACTTTATTAAAGTACTCAAAATTTATACTTCTAATGAATGATGAACGTAAATATGGGATGTAAGAACTAGGTAAGGTTAACTTATTGATAAACCCACAGATTTGTATCAGGCGTTAATCAGATTTCCGTATGAAATCAGGAGTAATAAGAGATGTAGTGTGAAAATTAAAAATTGTTGTTTAGTGATTCAAAAATATTTTTATTTGCTTTCGTGGTAACAACTGATGATTGGAGTTAGCCATCAGAAGAATACAGGCCACGTTTTTTGCTATTTAATCCTACTTAATCCTAACCGAGGCTTTAATTTTAAGAGTTTAGAAGATGAATTTGTTTGGAAGTTTTCATTTCAACCATACATGATTGTACGATATTTTTATAGACACTAGAGATCTGTCTCTAAGCAACAAGTACGTTTATGAAACCATTCTTTCAGTCAGGTTATACTACCTTTAACTAAAAAATATCTTGAAGTTTAAAAACTTCCTCATCACCCTTCATCACGCGTTCATACTCAGATCATAGATCATAAAGCGGTAATCACGTAACACAAGTATGACTTATCTCCTACAAATACGACATCAAAATTAATGGGACCAAAGGTATGCCAAAATGAAATGAGTGAAATCGCCAAATAATTTTACTTTTTAGGTTGAATTACTAGAAACCTACTTTGGACAAGCGAGTAAAAATCGATCCGTGGCACCACGACACAATACTTTTCGATTGGGATCTTGTAGAACGTAACAGCCTGTCTCACCATATTGTCCAGAAAGAATAAAACAGACTTTAGAATCAGTGCCCCCACATCTACGATGTCCAGTACTCACAATGATTTCATAAAAATACTCACAATCTGGATTATTCTCAGACAACTGTGTGACAGTAAGCTAAATATGAAAAGACAGAAAATAAGATATTAATTAGCGTTTCTATGAGATGTAAAACGTTTTTAGAAAGTATCCATTTGTCTGGGTATATTGCTAACAAACAATATATCATTCCTAATGTAATGTATATTTTTATCTATTCATTTGCATGAGTTCGTAGAAAGAAACACATAGAAATATGAAAGGGGAATCTGTCATGTTTCAGAGATTATTTACAGTTTTTGTTTGTGAAAAGCAACATATTTACCGGTTTCATCGTTATGCATTTAAGATATCAGATATTTGTGACACTGATTACACTTCAATGTTTAAAAAATCATTGATGATAAATACTTTCAATCTAACCTGTTTACAAAGAAAGACAATAACGAACCTCTCATCATGCTGAAATGAATTTGTTTAATGGTGAAGACTAACTGAATTTTGAAAGTTCTCGCTACAGATTAACTTTGGGTAGTGCTATGTAACGAACTAACCGAATTTAGAAATGTGAACCATTGGGCTTTTCAGTTGTGTAAATGTAACACTCACTCGCCCAAGGGATCTCGAAACCTTAAGTTTAATTCCTGATAAGGTTATGGCTGTGTACAAGAGGTTGAAGCTAGGTTTACGTAGCTGCCTAGTCTCCCTGAAGTTCTAACTGATAGCAATCTGTGGTGAAATATAAACTAACAACTTTGGCATATCTATGTATTTGTAAGTTACATTTGAATATTATCTTTGGTTAAGTAAGGAAATCATGAAATAAAACGTCTATTTTTTGAATAAGAAGTATTATGTTTTTTCTTGCTCTTGTTCAAACAATATTCTGTTTCACACTGAATCCTTTGAAATACCTGGATATTTCTATATTTGATAACTGAAGATAAAGTTAACCCCCCACGGAGTCAATAAATAAATATTGTTCTTTTCATAAAAAAATCACATTGTATAATAACGATATGTTATTATATAGTCGAATAATAAGTTGAAAAGTCAGGATAAGAAGGCAAATTCACTTTACCTTCTCAGAGTGACATTAAGTCAGCAGAATATTGGGGTTATAATTTCCAGCGCAAAATTATATCAGATATATATGTTTTGTAACAGTCAATTGTGAAATTCATTCGGCATGACAGATGTAAACTTCCTTCTAGCGTGACAATTATATTCATCGTATTATTCTGTGTGAACTTTGTAAGTGTTTTACAGTAACCATGTGTATCTTTTCGTTTATATGATGTTTATTGATTAACCATTGAGTGTGTGTATAATAAGCATATTAATGAGTTAATTTAGTCGAATGACGGCGTGATTTTAGGCGAATCATTTTGAGGACTTGTTTTTGGGATCGTATTTGTGGAGAGTTAATAAGCCTTCATTGTACTAGCGTTTATGTTCACACTTCGCACCATAGGGATTATGGGGGTCCACTTTCCCAAGTTTAAGCCATAGGACCGCGGCTATTAAATCTTGTTGCTTTAGGGAAATATTTGATCAAACAAGAACTGCCTAACATACTAGTTAATATTAGATGTTGCTCCGTTAAAACATGATTTGTTAATTACTACTTCATTTGTAAACAGGATGTATTGCGATGATTATCCATGCGTTAATATTTCTAGCCAAGTCCTTGATTATAGCACATTTTTGATATTAAATATAACTATTCCCTTCCAATTAATACATATCTTTTGATGACATGAACTTCTAACCTTTGTTTTTAATTTTGTAGATCGTGAGATGCATGTAATATACAAGTCACTCGTGACCAATATGTACTAAAGACCAGTAACTGAAGCTGGAAAAATAAATTATGTTTAAATCGTTACCTTTTATCTTGCCAGTTCACTTTTCTCTCAACTAAACAGTAATATCTAACTTATAACCAAGTTTCGATGTTATTTCAACAAATCCATGTCAAGTGATTCTCAAGTGAGTGATGAATACCTTAGCTGTACTTTTTCACTAAAAAGTCTTCAATGTTATCTTAAAAGTAATATCTCACCTTTTCTATATCCTTAATATCTTCTCTACGTGCCCAGATAAGTATTAATAAAAATATGATACAAAGGGAAATCTCTGTAGCATACAGTGTAGGATTTTTGTTAAAATCTATATTAGCAAATACATAATTGAAATCGATACTGTTGGGTAGTTCAAACCATCCAGATGTGAATGTGGAAAATTCATCACATATACATTGAGTCTGTTGAACGGTAGTCTTAGGACCAACCTTAAATGTAAAAAAAAAACAATAAATATATAGACCAGCGTATTTATTTTAAGATTCAAGAAAGAGTATTATTGCATGTTAACAAATATGAGAATAATGAAAACGCGAATTAACGAATACTTTCCTATGAGTTGTTTGCAAAAAAGAACTCTCCGTACATAACTTGATATCTAGTATGATCTAGTATAAAAGGCTAGATGTGACTGATTTCAACTTTATAACATTTTACTTGAACCAATGTATATTTCCATGACAAAGCTTGAACCAGATTGCTAGGCGAAACGTTGGATTCACTTCAAATTGTTTCTCTGAGATTTTACAAATACATTCTTTCTCTTCAGTGTATAAATGATTAACAAAGTTTATTACTAAATATCTACGAATAATAAATGTTTTGTTAACTGCAAACTATTTGGACCGAGTCCGTGTTCATATTCTTTATAATGTATTACTTTATCTGACAGATAATTTCCATTTAAACATTAAAAATTAAAAATCACGAAGTTCAGCGAAGGGATCTCTTTTCAACGAATTCATCATCAAGCTGTACAATCGTATATATATGAAAATTTTGTTTTTGTAAAAGTACTAATTATTATTATTATTATTATCATTATTATTACTGCATTCCCCCATTACTTACATCTTATATTCCCATTATTTTATTCATAAATGCTCATCATATCACCTGATTTATTTATACACCTCTATGACCTTTAATTATTGTAACAAAAATTCAAGTTATAACTCGTTACTAACTTATTAAGTCGATTGTTGTTATTTTTGTTACGTAATCTAGTATTATAATCTTTCTATTACGTCATCTTGGTTATTCCATGTTCATATTTCTTCACGGAATTAGTCCTTTAACAAAAAAAATTTCATATTTATACGATTGCACAGCTTGATAATAAATTCGTTGGAAAGAGATCCCTTCACAGAACTTCGTGTTTTTAATTATTAATATTACTTTATCATCTTATTCAATTATCATACTGACTCGGTTTTATTTAAAGCCTGTTAAATTAAAATTAAATTACTTAACCTATGTAATAACACAGCTAAATGTATTAATTCATGCACTGAGTGAACAGATGGAAATTGTGAGTTTAAATTGTTTTTGACTTATTAACCATGACAACTATTTAAATAAGGATAGATGCTTTTTTTAATTATAAGCTAATCATTACTGTTCTTCGGTAGAATCAATTTAGGCTCTAAATATGTATTTCTCCCACCTTATTGTTTGTGTCTGATAGAAAAAAGTACTGGTTATACGATTCATTAAAGATTAAATTGCTCAATTCTAGTTTGAAATCCTGTAGATAATTATTTGAACCAGTGAGTTTATGTTAATAAAATACACTGATCATTTAAGAATGTTAGTCGAATACTTGTTGAATGCAATACATAGGCTTGTTGTATTTGAAAAATGATTCCCAAATTCTTGAGATGTTTTCGAATAGTAAATGTGTAAATCTAGAGATCATTTACTTGCTTTTCAGAAATAGTTACAGAGACTAAATACTTAGAACCTTCAGAATTTTGTAAAGTAGCTGTCTATTACTTATTTGGTCTTTTTAGTGCAACTGATCGGGCTTTCAGATAAAGTTTGCACTTTTGTATACATGGACAATTTAGGGAGAAATCCATGAATATCTTTCTAATTATCTAGTTTATAACAATGTTAGTTGTATCAAACTCACTCGGCATTTGCTTGTGGACCATTTTTTCGAAGAATCCACTTGACCAGATACACAAGATGTTAAAAACCAACGTGAAAGTGCTGTGTTGTTTATTTGGTCCCTGTATTGATAAGGAATTAATGGGGGACTTGTATTTTTATACGTATTAATCTCATACTGATTCAATTGACGAAAACCAATGTAAACTGTTTGAGCTACAGACTTTTGTAGAATTTCAAATCTTTCACTATATTTCTGTGTTGATCTAAGCTCCATTAGTTGACGGTTATCCAACATAAATGTATATCTGTAATTTGGATCATTTGGGTTTGTGGTCATATTAACTAGGATAGAAAAATGAAATTTTTTCCCATTGATTAATAAAGGAGTATGAGAGGCTCATGAAACGTTTCTTGTGATATTTTACTTACTTTTAAGGCAATTAAATTTTATCAGTATCAGAAATTATTATCATTAAATTGGGTTAGTTAAACATTTTCTTGAAAACACGCAGTATATTCGTACTGTTTAAGATATAACGAATAATGACAATTTGAAAAGAAAATACAAAGAAGTACATAACTGTGAGATCCTTCATTTTGACGTCAATTAGATAGGGCGATGTCATAGGCGGGCTCAACACTTTAGTGACCCTATGGGTTTAACACAGTAACCGCCACTACATAAATGATTACTTTGTGAAATCGAAATGAATGGTATATACAAAATTATCTCTAAATGCAAACTTCCAATAAGTCTTTTTGATAAGGTTGTAGTTATTGCATGATACCATAATGAGTGCTTATGATTTTAACAGATTGATTTACCGGATCATTAGCTAATTCTTATAGTCTCACTTAATCTATTTATTCTTCTCTATATTTTTGTACCACTTGCGCTTGCATCGTACAGGTTTATATAACTATTCTTCCAAGACCATAGATTCATCACATTCACACAGACAGTATTAATATCCTTCGAACGATAGTCATATATTTTGATTGGTAAATATACTGATTTCCGTTCAATCATACTTCAAAGTGACTTTCGTTTTGCTATATATATATATATATATATATATATATATATATATATAACATGGTAGTAAAATGCTAGTAATAATACTGACAAAAATAATTCCAGGTAATATGAATCAAAGTTGTGAATTTATCAAGGTAACGATAGATTGATTACTGTCTCTTTCTGGACACTTAAATCAGGTTTGAGTTCCTTAATTGCAAATGATTCAGAAAAACCGAAAAGGCACCGCTCGTTTGTCCGCTGATAATTGTGAACGATTGAAGAACTTCAATGATATGCCAGGTACCAATTGAATCCAAAGCTATTGCACTGTTTAAGCCCATTGTAGCTCTCAGTTTCGAATTCATTAGAACGTGCTCGAAATTGCAAACATGTACTTTTCTCCCTGTTCTTTCAACAAATGTAATTTCGCATGTATATGTAAATTGGCGAATGCGGTCGATGGTACCGAGTAAAGAGGACCGGCCGATTTATGATTGTTTTGGGGAGCAATTCATTTTGTTTAAAGTGGTTTCCTTATGTTTCTCTTCTGTCAATAGGAATTCTACTTTTAATTCTTGATACATATTACTTATATCTGTCCGTATAATTAGCATACACCACATTACTACTGCATAAGCGATTTTCATTGCAGCATTTATTCTGTCGCTGGTTATTTCACTAATTTCATCTTCATTGAACATGTTCGTCAGTTTTGGCATACTTCTCCAGGAATTTTGTTCTGCATCCATTTTTACTTAAACAGATTTTAGTGAAAGCAAGTTCTTTTAGGCTTTCCCTGGAGCAGAATTTACGATTGTTGTCAACAAGTGTTCTTACAATTCGTATTTTACAACTCACTGGACAGAATTTATTGTTGTTTGAATTAGTTGGTAGCCTATAGTCTCGTAACGTGGGTTTGTTAATTTTAATTTATCAACCTCTGGAACACACGAGGTAAATAGTCTAAGAGTTATTCACTTAGGTGATAACTTGAAAACTGTCATTTATACAGCACTATTATTCCGTATTTGTGACGTGAATAAATGAATAAAAGTATAATACACAAAAACCAGTTTTCGAATGACGACCTTCATGAATACACCCTTGTTTCAACCTCGGTTACTTTTCAAAAATCATTTAGATGTTGAGTTCAATCAGGATAGTTTAAATTTACTGTTAATTTGTACATTGTTTGAATATATTATGTTTTAAATATCACTGCCCTTCTTATTAAGCTCTTGAAATCTCTTAAGTTACATTATTAGACTATGGCCACATTTTCAGAACAAGTTCCTGCAGATCATTAACTATCTGGTTCTAAAAATCCGCTTGTAATAATCAGTTAAACGGTTAATCATCTTCGGTTAATGCATTAATAACTGACACCACTTACTGATATCAATCGAATAAATGACCAACTGATATATTTACTCTAGAACTTCAAAAGAGAATGCTGTCATAGTGATATGCTTGAGTATTCATCAAAATTTAAAGTTTAGTCAGGTTGATTCGAACTTGTATACCCTAAAAATAATTCGTTCATCCATAGGCAAACTATTTTAATTCACTTATCGTTTATCGAATTTCATAATCTGGAAAATCTGATAAGTCATTTGAATTCAACCTATTTTGTGAATTGACTTGGTTATTAACACTTTCATGAATAAGCAATGTGATAGTTTACTGAAGAGCAAGATGACCCTAAATTTTTTAAACGATCATTTACAGAAAATGGCTTGACAAAAACTGTGATTGAAAAAGTTTTGGTATAAACTGCACGATTTTATTATATCTCCTTATTTCTCTTTATATATTAGTTTGACTATCCTTATTATAACCATATGAACCCATTTCATTTAGCGTTTTGTAGCAGTGTCCTATTTGGTTTATATTTCATAGCTGTTTAACCGCTATTTGGGACATTTTATATAGTTTACGATTTACCATTGAATAACTCCTGAATCTTTATTTGAGATGAACAACTTAACTTTGATAGATATGCAAAGCAAAACACTGTATAATAACGACTGAGTAGAAATTTATAATGTAGTCTGACAATTACTTACCACATTGTGAAGTATCCTCAGGTAACGTTGTCCACATATCATATCCTCCAGCTGATAAGGAAATTACTGGGGGATCAATCAGTCTATATGAAGGAAGAATATATATCAATTTTACCAATATAGTATATGTAGTAAAACGGGTATCTAATAGTTCAACTTGAGGGAATAAACATTTCTGGAATAGCGCTAACGAACTAGTTTCTTTCAATACCCAATATTAGTACCTATATGATGTACATTTATGTCATCCAATCAATCCGCGGTGGAAATTAATTAACAGTCACTAATAAAGTTTTAGATACGTACTATCCAATTAAGTGAAAATACGACCATATCACAGTGCTAAACAATCAGATAATTATTCTGAACTTTTATAAGGGAGTTTGTCAGTCATAGCCGGCATAAATTCAATTCAAAGCTCTATACTGTTCATTCGACTTTAATCTTCCAACTTGATTCGTTTTTAATGCAGTCTGTTCAAAAATTTCCCAAAGCTTAAAAATTTGTCATGACCAATCCGTGATGATGATGATGATGATGATGATGATGATGATGATGATGATGATGATGATGATGATGATGATGATGATGATGATGATGATGATGATGATGATGATGATGATGATGATGATGATGATGATGATGATGATGATGATGATGATGATGATGATGATGATGATGATGATGATGATGATGATGATGATGATGATGATGATGATGATGATGATGATGATGATGATGATGATGATGATGATGATGATGATGATGATGATGATGATGATGATGATGATGATGATGATGATGATGATGATGATGATGATGATGATGATGATGATGATGATGATGATGATGATGATGATGATGATGATGATGATGATGATGATGATGATGATGATGATGATGATGATGATGATGATGATGATGATGATGATGATGATGATGATGATGATGATGATGATGATGATGATGATGATGATGATGATGATGATGATGATGATGATGATGATGATGATGATGATGATGATGATGATGATGATGATGATGATGATGATGATGATGATGATGATGATGATGATGATGATGATGATGATGATGATGATGATGATGATGATGATGATGATGATGATGATGATGATGATGATGATGATGATGATGATGATGATGATGATGATGATGATGATGATGATGATGATGATGATGATGATGATGATGATGATGATGATGATGATGATGATGATGATGATGATGATGATGATGATGATGATGATGATGATGATGATGATGATGATGATGATGATGATGATGATGATGATGATGATGATGATGATGATGATGATGATGATGATGATGATGATGATGATGATGATGATGATGATGATGATGATGATGATGATGATGATGATGATGATGATGATGATGATGATGATGATGATGATGATGATGATGATGATGATGATGATGATGATGATGATGATGATGATGATGATGATGATGATGATGATGATGATGATGATGATGATGATGATGATGATGATGATGATGATGATGATGATGATGATGATGATGATGATGATGATGATGATGATGATGATGATGATGATGATGATGATGATGATGATGATGATGATGATGATGATGATGATGATGATGATGATGATGATGATGATGATGATGATGATGAAATCCCATTGTAAATCAACTAATAGTTATCGTTTCATAAAAGTTTAGGAGAATAGATATTTATAATAGTTCTGAAACTCAAATTTATATCAGTTATTGTCTCATTCACAGAGTAAGTAACTATCAAATACAATTATGCTACATTCACAGAAAAAATTAGCGTGTACAATTTCATGTTGAAGTTAACTTAATGCACACATTTAAAATTTGAATACCAGCAGGTGTAAATCTTTAATCTATAGAATTTTGTTAGTTTTCTACTTTTCAATCCGAAACAGAATCAACAGCAATATTGAGCTACGTTGCTTAGTAATTGTATTACAAATGCGACTGATAAAATTTATTTAGCACTGATCTCAGTTACTGATGTGCGTAACTCTTTGAATAGTTATAGATCTCGGAGTCTGTAATGTTTATTATTAGGAAAGTTAGTCAGTATCCAAACCGAATGCAGCACTGCATCTTTCAACACCACATAATAATAATAATAATAATAATAATAATAATAATAATAATAATGTCACAACCCGGTTACCATGTTGCACTATCGAATTGGTGAATTCTGGACAATGAAAAGCACTAAAATGTGGCAGATTTCATCATATTATGACAATTGACCATATCAGTCACCTCAGTGATACAATTATTTTTACAAATTAAATTTGATCAATTCTTACCTTAGAAACAGTAAATATTGTGGACATTCAGAAATATTTTCAGGGTACAACTGGAAAAATACAGCTACATCATCTGGTACTACCTGATGACTCATCAAAAGAGCTTGATAAATTTCTGTTTTATCCACAGCTATTCGTGCAGCTGGTAGTTGAGGTCGATTTGTCCCTGGATCCATACTTGTAAAGGTTGGTTGTTTAAAATTTGATACCTTGGGAGAAAGACCAAATTAAAATGACAGTTGTTAAAAGTAAATACAATCTCTCTGATTAGTTATTAACGAATGATCACAATTTTTATACAAAAATCAAATAAATTACTTATACAAATTGAACTACACATAAGACGTATAGTAGTTTATAATCTATTGAAATACTTTACAGAATTTATTCTTTATAGATTTGTATTTTATTTACTCGGTGTAACTACCGATATCTATTTCGTTTATCATACAAACTAGAAGAAAGAAATTCTGATCATATTTTTTGAGGATGTTCCAAAAAGCCTCAGAGCAAGGGAAAGTAAGACTCTAAACAGTGCAATTACTAAATATCTCCTTGACACAGGAATTTGGTCGATACCTTGCAATCTTTCAGATTGATTAATAAGCAACCAAACTCCAGTCTTCTGAAGTTTGCTGAAACCGTTACTATCAGGCATCAAAAACCTGGCGCATGTGTTCAAAAGGAGATGGTTATTAATCTTTCCATATCTTGATGACAAATATTCCTTCGTTGCATCTTGAACCATTTTTTAAACTTATTCTTGCATTTATCATATTATTGAGTTTTTATAACATCAATCTTCTAGATTAGTAATCTTACTTATTAACTGAGCTTCACTCATTTTATTCCTATCAGCGTTTACTTATTATGTAATCACTTGTTTCTAGGCGTTAGAACTGCTGTCACAGTCAGTGTCATAGAAATTTCCTTTACATAAGGTATATATTTACAATAATCAGTCTAGCGAATCTATTTACACCGTTGTCTTCAACATAACTTCCGACTAAACACTTTCATATAAGTAATTTAAACCCATTACCTAATTATGATTTTAAATATCACAGGTTGTAAGCAGGTGACGAGAACCAACGAAATAAAATGAATTCATACTATTCTGCTAAAATCATTGTTCTTGCTCTTTACAAAATTAAATCAGACGAAAAAAGATATTGGCATTCTCTGATAGTAACCCATTTTAAAAACTGAATTTGGTTTTACAAACAATTTTATATGATTTAATACAACTAACGAAAAATGAGGAGTTCCACAATAGGACGAAACAGTCGTCCAATGCATCAAGGTTTTCCATGGTGGTTTAACTTTAATTGACACATGATCTAAACTATTAAATTACTATAATATTTTAAAAATAAACCTTTCTGATTTTTTTTAGTTGAACGCAAAAAAATATGATGAGTTAATCAAACAGTAGTGTTACATGTAAGAAAAAAAATCAAAAAACTTACCCTGCGAACAATTCCTTCAACTATTTCTTTGACATCTTTAATGATAACTGGTTTGTTATTGTATAAAATCATTGAAATAGTCTCAGTATGAAATGGGATTGGTATAGATGAACCAGTACGAAATGAGAACAGGTTTGTTTTTGATATGAATGTCTAAAAATAAGAATAGTGATTTTATAATTAAACTTATTTGACTCACATAAGTAAATATTGAAGCTAATATGATTAATAAATGAATTACTATACTAATTTTCATATGGATACATGAATTCTCAGTATTTTTTTAAATGAGTAATTACTACATTATTTTGCCGGGAAAAGATAATTCAAAAATCAACTTTTTTTATTTAAGTAACTTATTTGTGTTAGACATATAGTCTCTAAGGCATGACATGACTTAAAGGGTCATTAAAATAACTGGAGGTTAGGGATTTGTTCGTTGTATTTTTTGTAGTACACAAATATTGCTTTCTGATGGTATGAAATCTCTTGTAGCCAGAGCTTTAGGCAAAATCGTTGTTTGAGTTAAATTCTATGAGCGATTGGTCAGTGTTTCCTATCTTTATTCAGTAAGTACCATATCTGTATTGTTATAGTTCAATGGAATTTATAGAACCACTTCTACATATAAACAAAATTCCTAGTGTATAGTGTTCTCTTTATGTTTCGCTACAAAAGACATGAGATGTTGTATACAGTATCTGTCTTATTGCTTCTCTAATGAGACAGTTAACGATACAATATTTTATCTTTTACCAATATACATTTTCCCACTTTAATTTCATCTGCCTAACAATATAAACCCCATTATGCCAAGTTTTCGCACTGTATTGTCATTGTTTAGGTATAAATAATATGTTAAATTATCTGCATAACTTGGTTTAATTTTTTTTGTTCATCGCATAAGAAATTCTGTGAACAAATGTCCAGTAATCGTTTCATTTTTCTGACATGTATGTTGATAAAATCAGATGGCTAGTGAAAATCATGTCATTTATTCGATAGCTACTTAGAGTTTGAAACAAGGCATTGTGGGCAGTCTGGAAAGTTCCAACAATATACCAGTAAACTGGAATCATTATTCAATGTATTTTGAAAACCAAATAGAATTTCAGTGTTCATTCTTCAAACTCTTAATCATAAGTCTTATATTATGTGGTTACAACAATTGTCAAGCTTGAGAATGTCTGGGAGATTATACTCTTATGATTCACCGTATCTTGTCGTTTTTATATAGAATCAGTTTGTAGAAGTAGTCAGTGTTGTTTATCTGTCACCAACTGTCAGCATGTTTACAGTAGGACTAATAAACTATATTTTTCGACCAAATTTCCATCTTTCCTTTCCAAATAGTGTTTATTTGTTTCTGTTGTGATCATAACTGCTGACTAAGCTTTAGTTTGTCTAACTGAAGATTACTCAGGTATACATAACCATTCGAATCAAAACGCAATCTGATATAAGCACCACGAGGTTCTACGTCTAGGTATGTATCTACTAAAAAACGAGACTGTTTTTCAGCAGTTGAATGACCACTGAACGTTGGATATCGTTGGATACCATTGTATACTTGTTACGTTTTGTTCGTGAAGTCTTGATCAACACTCAAGAATAAGCGTGCCTCTCAGATTTTTTGATAGGACATTAACTTCTGCATATACAACTGAAAATTTAAACCCATGTCAACTCATTATTTAAGACACCTTATTTTTCCACCACCAGCCGTTCAGTTATAACTGTACCAGAAACTGATACATCATTGGGATTAAATTTAAGTTTATCAGAACAGTGGTGTTCAGCAGACATAACAGAAGCTGCAACTGTCAGGGAGTTGAGTCGACATCATGTTTGTTGAGAATGTGGGCTGTTTTAGATTACATTCTAATAATGAGTTATTGGTATTTAGAACTATGTTGTTCCATATTCGAAAGGTGTAATAGCGCTCCTTGATTCCCATTGATTGCATGACTAGAATTAGCTTGTATTGAAAACCATAATAAAATAAATACCATTATATTACACATTAATAAACTCACTTGAAGGCTATATGGTTCTGAACAACTTTCATTTAAAGCTTGAAGGTTTCTGCATAAATTGTTTACAAAAACATCATTTTGACTTCCATCCAATACAGCAATTCTATTTGACAAATTATTCGGCAGAATCCTAGAAAGACTAATCACAGCGTTTGACCTCTGAAATGTTATTGGCGGTGCACCTTCAATTAACAAACCTTGTGTGACTTTTTGTGATGTGGTCATCAGATTACGGATCATATCTAATGTCTGGCCAACCTATTTCATCCAAAATCCGATAGATAAAATAAATTTAATTAACGAAACATATTCGACGAGAACGCTTTATTGTAGCCATATCAATTTCTAAATGAAATACTTTGACATAGGATTTTGCATTATCCGGTCTAGACTGAATCAAACGTCTTTAAATGAATTTCCACAAGGTTTCTACCCCCATACTTAAGGAATTGGAGAGTTTAAAATATATTCTAATAGTCTGATTCTTATTATTTGATGACTTCTAAATTGTAATGGGTCAATATGTTATAATGTCAGTGCCAAAATTTATTACTTGTACTATTAAATGTAATTCAGTAGATAAAACGAGTAGCATGTGGTTGATTTCCAGCAACTTTCTTGTGCTATATATTAACTAACAAACATCTTTCACACGTAATAAAGAATGAAAATAAAGAGTAGAAAGTGAGACTAATAATTCATCTTGTTCGACACTGGTGACTTTTTAGTAAGAAATAATCTATCAGAAACATCCTAAATTCATGCTCGTATTAATTTAAGATGATCCCAACGAAAAACCTACCAGTAATGATTGTTGATCTGCACTGTTTTGCAACATTAAATCACTCATAGGATCCAAACCTGATGTCTGTAGACCTGTTAGCAAAAAAAAGAAATTTAGTTTAAGATTCAGAGGACAACTGTAAATTTATCGAATATTAGAATATATTCTTGGGTTTATTCAATAACAGGATTATGGCAAATAATATCTGGTTGTCGGTATACAATGAAAATTCCCAAATAAACGTCTAAACAACTTGTTTAGCGTACAAACTACCACAATACGCGTTTTAGTTAAATAGTTGTTTTTAGATTTTTTTTCAGTTCAAAAATGACTTTAGCTGGTCTAGTTAATTTCCTTTTGTGAAGAATGCTAGTAAGTCGATAAATTTTCACCACTTTCCTATCTACCGTCCATAACACAAAAAAGGTCATTCAAATACTTTGTATCTTGTATTATTCAGACTTAAAAATACATATGATTATATATATGAAATCCAGTACCAAAACTTATAAGTCTCAGAATTATGTGATACATTAGCTCAATACATTTCGAACAATCTAACCACATATATACTTGCTAGGAACATTTATATATGAAAAATAAAAGGTCAACTAGACAAATTAAAAACAAAAATAATCTAAAAAATAATGTGAAAATCACTACGCTGTGTAGGTCTAAGGTGAGAATAAACTGTTCTTGAATACAGAAAGGGGTTTTAATGATCGTATAATCAGTACTTCACCATCTTTGTTCCCTCTTGTCTTCAATTTTCCTAGGTAACCTTTCATTTTTTCATGTATAGATGATCTTTCAGTCTGTGCTACTTATATTGACATAAGTAGTATATGATGTTAGTCGTGAACAGAAGGTTTGACAGCAGAGAGACAAGAGGATCGAAAAGTAACGAATGGAAACAGAATGCAATTTGTATGAAAATGAATGGACAATGAAGTCTGAGTCATTTTGAGACAATCGATGGACATTTTGCAAATTAAGCATTTACATTATGATTGTTAGATTTTATTAACAAGTCCTGTAATTTTGTGCTCAGTACATTCGATTGTCCCCACTGGTGTTCTAGTTCACTACAATCTTAGCAAGTATGTATGTGGTCAGGCGGTTCCGATTGTATTGCATTAATATGTCATCTTATTATAACATGCAGATTTATCCACGGGACTAATTGTATAGGATTAAATACTTTTTAAATGTTTTAGACTAACTCACCTGCCTTCTCGAGATCGACATTGTAATCGAGTAGAGCTGGATCTGTTGGTATATCTAAAGAGATTGGGTTATTAATCTGACTATTTCCAGCCTAAAAATAAAGTTATGGTTATCCGATGAGCGAATATTCGTTATTTTGTATAAAGAACACAAATTTACCATTATATATATAATCAATACAGACTATGAAATTTATTCTGTTACCAAGGCATCGTTTTATAAATGTTACGTATCAGTATTAGATGACACTGTGTAACACTAAGAAATTACTGATGGGCAATAAGCCATATTTTGTAATTTATTTGTTATACAAAATAATTTCACCGCTTGACCTTCATTCATAACAGATAATAACAAAAGACTCGTCAAACACAATCCGTGTAAAATAGACATCTATCAAAAGAATTTGGTTTTAGTGCATCACTGTGTTATTTTCAGGTGAATGTTAAAAAAATTATGATCCAGCAAAAGATAATTTTTAATTGGAAACGTACTAAAAAGTAATTTAGGACTTACATCAGCTAAAAGAAGCGCTGACTGAAATATAGTTGAGGTCATTGTTAACAACTGGTCTGTATTATCACAAACAATTGCTTCTAGAGATTCAGTTACTTTAGTAAGGTATGTGTTTAATTTTGACTGAGAACTTCTATCCACGTCCAAGGTATTGCTAAGTATATTCTCAGTGCATGACATTGCTAAGATGAATGAATTTGAATCAGTCGGTATAAAATTGTTTACAGTTTTTACCAGCATTTGAATAACCTATTCAGTAAATGATGACAAAGAAAAACTAGAAAGAATTAAGATCTAAGTATAAAAGTTTTAATTCTTAAAACCAAACAATGAATATGGCAGACTGGAGATTCTTATAAAGTTGTTATTGATTCACAGTGGATATCACCAGAAAAGTAAAATATTTCAGTAAAATTATTATCTAGATTGATACACATGACTGAAGTTAGAAAAACTAGTTTCTGGGATAGAAGTCAATGATTATTAAAAAAAGATTGTGCTCATAAATGATTGAGGGTTATATAACTTAAATCTAAAGGACAGTGAAGTACTGAGAGGGATCATTCCATGAAGTAATTATTTTCAACATTCACCAGTCTGCAATCCAAAAGCAATCAGACAAATACTGATAATATATTATTAAATAATGCAGTTATGTAGCATTATATCTTATGAGTTTCAGAATTATATTTTCGACAATTAAATTGTAGTTCCGAAACTCATTACATCTCATTTAAGTAAGCAACCTTGTTCTAACTTCAATTGTGACGAAGTTACAATTGATTTCTAGCGTATTACATGAAGAGGAATATCTTTAATGATTTGTATTACAAAAAATATTTACATGAGAAAACGAAACATTGTACTTTTATGAATCTGCTACATTCAGAAATGCCTTTTATGTTGTCAAAGAACATTGTTTAACCAGTTTATTTCTTTTTCAATGAAAATGTGTGTAATCAGTATAATCGGTACAGAGTTTTGGGAGATTGTAGGATTTTCATGGTTTAAATCGTAAACTGATCTTATCGTTGGAAACTAGGAATCACTAGACAGTTATCTTGCCCTAGTATGGAACACCTCAACAGTGACTAACCACGACCTCGCTACAGGAAATTAAACTCAGGGTTTTTTGTCTCGCGTAAGAAGTATTAATCTCTAAAGCACTTAGCCGGCAATCAGTGATGTATGTGTCGGACTTTAGCCAACTCACGATATTGCTCGACCATCTTTCATAGTCTTTGATGGATAAATGTATCACACCTGACATGGAGAACCGTCACACCAGAACGAGATAGCTATCCAGTGATTCCTGATTTTTGATAATTGCTGAGCTAAGATCAGTTAGTGCTTTAAACTTTGAAAATTCCACAATCTCAAAACTGTACACTGATAATAATCATACACTCACTAATGACTGGCTTCATGATGCATCTCCCGAAATGCCTATGAGAAGTCACGACTATTTCATTTCTAATTGTTAGAAGCTCTTTAACTCAGAATAAGTGGGGTGACTGCTAAATGTTAAATTAGGGTTTGGACTACAATAGAGTATACTTCACCAAAAAATTAATGGTTTCAACTCTTGTCAGATCAAAACTTCAGTTTTCATTCACATAAATGAGTCAAAAACTGTTAGCATATTTTATTGAAAACATATCTTTTCATGGAAAGTATCTGCTAAACTTGTTTAATCGATACTTTCCATCAAAATAGTTCCCTACGTACGATCACTTGTAAACACGGTTTCTTCAAATACTGTTCACTGCTAATAAAACTTTATAATTGTTGATTCTCATAGATTGAATGAATTAAATGGGCTCATTATATATGTTTTAATAGTATATTCTATTGTACTCTGATTATATTACATAGAAATGAGGAATATAAAAGTTATTTCCTTCCTCCCAAGACTAATCTGTTGAAATATATTATCAGGTAATCATAAATGACCAAATTCAAACTTTAGTGGTAAGTTCAACCATATAAGATGGATTAAGTGAAATAGTTCCAAAGGAGAAAACGGAAACAGATTCGGCTTCATATAGATTATTATTCTTAAATATATTCATTAATGACAATGAGTTATTTCTGTTATCTATCATTTATTCCAGAACTAGATTCTATGGTCGTTTAGACTCATTTTAGCGATATCCAAAATTGATCATGTTCCCCCTTATTTCTTAAGGAATAAGAAATATGCATTCCACAAAGAAAACAAAGAAAATCCATGAAACACATGTACACAAGCCCTCAGATAGAGAGTTATAGTCTCTTGAAGGTATCTGACAGGCTTGTAGATCTTATCGTCCTCCCCACAATTTTCTTAACCGGCTTGTGAAAACCGCGACTGATGGCCTGACGTATAAATCTGCATTCATTTTATTACAGTAAATTCGATCTTATTAATTTGCTAAATAAGCGTTACTAATCAATTTTCACTGAAATGGATTGTAATCAGATTATTCATTTTATCAGTGTTGTTAATAAATAGATATTTTATAATCATCAATGTGTTCTGACCAAAAATTCTAGGTTTAACATGGAACTGAAATAGATGCTATAACAACCAAATTTCAGAGAACATTATCACAGAATACATCATCTTTAATTAGTAATCGGATTACAGAGTTCTAAATACTGATAATTTAAGTCAGCCTGACATTTTAATATCACTTACCTTAGAACGTAAATCACGATTTAAAATTGCATCTGGGGTCTGTAAGAAAATAAATTGAGGTTATTATATATTATTCATAGAAGAATCTAATAAAAATTACTGTGTAGTTGACACGTTCGGTGTTTCAGAATTTCGCGTTATGAAATAAAACCGTAGTTCTAAATATGATATATATATATATATATATATGTACCTTCTTCGAGACTTAGATTTACTTATTATGGTAAAATATACACTGAGGTCCTAAACACCACCAAGAGCAAGATAGACGTTGTTTGTATAATTCAACCTGTTTGCTCACCGTTGCCTACCTACATACAATAGATAAAAAGAATAAACGCCTAACAGAGGAAATCAATTATAATCTGAATAATTTGGCTGGAGAAAAATTAACTGACAAAAAGTTTTGTCTTTCATTTACACACTCTTATGATGGATATTTGTGGAACTACATTTTGACAAAAGGCTCGAATTCGAATTGTTTTAAGTCTTGATCACAGCTTTTCATGTGGCTACACAATTTTAGTGAGATGAAGCTACTAGACTTTCTTCTAAAGAACGTAAAATTAGTAAAAAAAAATTGGGGGATGAAAAACATAGGGACATTTGATAGTATAATCAACATTGTCTTGATGAGTATCATGATCATATTAGAACTGAATAGATCTCAAAGAATTAGACAAACGCTCACATACATAGAAGTAACTTGACTAATTAATCAGATTGAAAAATATTAAATTATTTTTTTTCAAGTTACAAAATAGTGAAATACAGATGTTTATTAGATTCATTACACTAAACAATCCCATTGATTGAAAGATATACGCCAACTGTTGTATCGAATGTTCAACTGATTACTTTATAAAGGTAAGAATATATCATAAGCTGAAATACCGAAAATCTCTCGTTAGCCTACTTACTGTTCAGAGAAATAAATAGTTCATAATTTTTACTTTAAGGAGTATTGAAAAAATTTCATTTTAATTCGAGTTTTTACTAGAATGTAAAACCAACCATATAGTTTGGTGAAACATTTCACAAATTAACATTTATTAGCTGTGAGGCTTAGCTACATTTCTTTCAAATAAATAGGACTGAATCAACCATACTACTATGTCAGTGACGGTCAGCTGCATAGCGCGTATCATTAAATGCATTTAAGAACCAGCTTTAAATATCTATAAGAGCAAAGTTTCCTCAAGCTTGATAAAATTTAATTAAAACGAGACTTATTTAGCAGGCTTGTTGTTGTCTGACTTCAAGCACTCATTAAAACCAAACTACAGGGATAGAATAGAAAAGACTGAAAACGCAATTATCGAGACACCAAGATATTCTATTTGTTGATGCACGAGATACAATTATTTTGGTGGAGTTTTGTTCTCTGAGCTGGATGGTTTGGTCGTGAAGCTTTCATCGTTCTTCTGAACGACATCATCAGCACAAACTTCAGATAGAAGTCTATCTGAAGTTTGTGCTGATGATGTCGTTCAGAAGAACGATGAAAGCTTCACGACCAAACCATCCAGCTCAGAGAACAAAACTCCACCAAAATCATCCACCTGAGCTACAAATCTTCTCCACCATACAATTATTTGTTAATTAAATTGCCGAACGCATAATTGTGATCTCTGAATTAAATCATTGTTGATTAACCAGAATAAAATTATCGGGAGTTGACATATTTATTCATTTTAGCAATTTTATTGGATTACACTCTTCTATCACATCATTCTAATACAATTAAGTGAATGATATAAAGAATTTGATGTTTTCATTAACCTATGCCTACAATTAACACAGCTAGCTGAGATGTTCAATTTATCACGCATTATAGATGATGATAAGTAAATAATTATTCTTTAGGTTGATATTACAAATTATTTTATTCATAAAAATATAACTTACATTATTTGCACCAGCGGAGTCTGAAAAAGGTGAACAAAAGAAGAAACAATTATTGAACCGTATACTGTTATACAAAAACCGAAGTACAGTCTTGAATGTTTTAGACTCTAAATATGTTTTTTGAAAGAAACCCGTACTCATAGCTTCTACAGAAGTGAAATAATGGCCTGTTTAATTAATGAATTATTCACTGATTGCATACTCTGATTGAATTTAGAATATTGCGATAGAGGTTGTGACCAGTTAAGTTTGCTCAAGTGAACATATTCAGAAAGTCTCGGTGATACAGAATTTTCTGCCTTTTTAGAAAATTTTGGGGAATTATTTATGTAAAGCTGAAGGATCACATGTTGCCTCTGAAACTTATGTCTAAATATTGCTTTGCTGGTAACATAACATCTATTCTATAACATTATTTATTAAAATAAGTTAAACGACTAAGAATTCGATTGTGTACATTTGGTGAACAACACCGTTGAAAAGAAAATTTCTTTTCTTTGATCCGTCTCATTCTTTTTAATGATCCAATTGGTTTCTTTTGCCCTTTGTGTATAAAATTTGAGATTAGTATTACTATGGAACCAACAACTATAAAAAGGTCATTCCTAAGCCTCGCTTGCTTTGACAGTTTATGATTTATATGATAAGTAATAACGTTTCGGTTTTCCATTTACCAGTTATTCATCCATATAATTATTGTCAAACTTGAATTGTCTCAGATAACAGTGATCATAGACAAACCCTGTTTTGATACAAAAGTTTTGTTATGACACAGCTGCCTCCTTACTGCATTTACAACCTCTACCACTTTACTGAATTCACAGAAGGTAAAACTTGAATAGTCTGGTAAAGTTTAGTCTTATTTTAGTTTGCTTGGTTGATTTACCAAACAGCGAGGTGTCGCACAGTCGGTAACATAAGCAGTTTGTTGCTCGTATTTATTTAAATTTAACACGACAAACTGGAATGGGCTTATAGTAGCCGTGGGGCATCTCGATTCAAGTGTTCTCCTACACTTAAAAATTAATCAAAAACCAAGTAAGATATTTCCAGGTGTTCCATACTGGGTTAACTAGTTTCTGGTTGGATGCTGAAATGTTCATTCATTGGAATTTGAACTAAGATAAAATTAATAAGAGAATCTGCACCTATTCGTTGTCGTCATCTAAAGTTATCGATTCAAAAATTATACCTTCATTAGAACAGAATAAGGGTGTGAAGTTTTGAGCCTGATTAACACAACTCGTCGAGTGAATAGTGTTTATTACAGTTTATACTTACTCCGAGTTTCAAGAATAGAGAACATTTGTACAGCAGATGCATAACTGGTAACTAGATCAGCACTTTCTGTCAACTGCCCAGTAACAACCAATCTGTTTAATTCGGCTTTCTTGTCTTCTACAAGTGATTGTATTGCGGCACGCATAAGATCCAGTGATTTCGCTTGGACCTAAAAACAAAAAAATGTTAACCGATGCTTTCTTTGACATTCCTAGTGACAGTAAGAATAGTGGTTGTAGGTCCAAACTCAAAGCAAAAGGAACAAATGACAGTTCAGATTTAAATTTTGATCACTACCGGCATGCTGAACCTCTTGAACTGTATTTTCATCTTCACTATAGTTTTGTTGATAGTTCGATTTGTCTTCATGAAATTCAAAGACTTTCATGTTAGTTATGAAGCATATAGCTTATGGTCTCGATTCATTAAAAGTGATGGGTAGGTAATCATTAGAGCTCTCGTTATAAAGAAATATTGGTTAAGTTCTATTTAACTAGAAAGTCTTTCTACTAGTATTAAATTATGAAGCCAATAATTTCTTATTCTAAAAGAGCACTTTGATCTTTTAATTTATTCAGGTACATTTTACATGTTTCTTCGACGTATAAACTTAGATTATTCACAGTATATTATCAATTTTATAAAGAAGCCTGGTAAACACACAGTGTTTTTATAGATATTGGTGGAGTTTTATAGATACTCAAATGTTTGTAGAAAGTGAGATGTGATTGTTTCTACTTAGTAGTTTTAGATGTAAAGTTCAAAAGATATCTTTGCGACTTTTTCATTTATATGTTGGACTCTGAGAATGTACATAAAAATACTTCTTAATGTTCGAAATGTGATGCATTATGAACAGTCAGATAATTAACTATGCTCGTCAATCGTGACCCTGAAACATTGATTACCTGGTTACTTTTTCGTAAACATGATTACTAGCTTTTTCGTTTATCAATGAAATGCATCATTAAAAGGGAAGAATCAATAAATAAATAAAAACTTACGAATATATTCGCATAGCATACTTCTATTGAACCCCCAAATTTATCAGAAACATAGACACAAGCATCTAGTGGACTGTACATATAAGGTACAACGAAACAAGTTTTAGGAAGATTTTCACTTGCAAGAGCAATTTTGATGGATGAATTCGTAACTAGTAAATAAGATTGTTGAAGAATATATCAAATAGGTATAATATTTGAAAAATAAGTGAAATAATTAATTTTGCAATAATTTTTTCTATGTTAAACTCTTAATAGTGTTTCACTAACACTGGAATCCAACTATTGGTTGTTAAACGTGATTTGACTATCAGTGATAATAAATAGCTAAAGTGGAGAACTATTATATGTTTGTAAAATCACTTATTTAAAGGTTTCCTCATAAATGCAACTACCAATAATCTAATATTCTATCAAATTTCGTAAACATCTTTCATTAGTGAAAGGAATTCAGTCGGCAAACTAAACTTGAAAGAGACCAAAACAAATATTCTACTCCTGATATGTGTGTAAAATTTTATTTTTTAGTACATTAACTTATTATAACCATGGACATCTTTGATAAAGAAAATTCATTATCATAGCAACTATAAATTATTGAAGAAACATATATTTAATGGTTATGATGAAATATTTCTCATTCTTGAATTTCATGGATGATTCAACTACTAAATAACTTTCAGTTATACTCTTAAAAAGTGTAAATATTCAGTTAACAATAATTCTGTAAAGAATGATTAGCGAAGAGTTCAAATATTTCATTGATGAATGTTTTTAAAATGTGTAAGTATTTATAACTCACCGACTAACTAGTGAAAGTAGTCATGGACTTAATCAAAAATCATGACTTAAAAAACAAAAATACATGATTATCTTTACTCTTAACTACAAAATATTTCTACCAGCTAAATTAAAAACTAAGAGATTAGTTACCATTTAAGTTCCTGGTAAAAAGATAGTTGAATTAAAAAGTCAATAATGTGTACTGGTTCCCTCTTTTTTAACAACTGTCATCGATTATTTATATAAATATTGACCGTTTCCAAAAGAAGAAAAAGAGTGATATAGGACACTGATTTAAGACTTACACTTTTCATAATCAGGTTATTTTGTCTTTGAAAATAAAAATTTACATAAATTGATGAAAAGTTGGTTATAAGTTACATGACAATAAAATCCCGCACTTTCTTTATACTCCTACTGCTATTGGGATTATATTGATATCAAAAAGTTTCTTTACCATTGTCTAAGATAAAATTATACTCAGACTGAGATTTCATACCACGTGTATCACGCTGGAGTTTCCTTATCTATTGAAAACCATTTTCAAATAATTATAGATTATTAATTCTTTAGAAGGACAGTGTCCTGTGGTTGATGCTACATTTTTTCTCAGTGAATCCCTTTATACTTTTCTTTTGTTCTCTCAATTCGGTTTACTTTAAAATATTGGAATTCCGAATCTTTCAGTGGAAGCCAGTCAATTTCCTATATTCATCTGACAGCTGATTTTCTAATGGTCATTTAGTTGTTGTTAGCATACAGATTACGGTTCATAGGTGTGAGAAAGTTCAAATCAGTGCGTGAATAATCCTTTTGATAAGCATGAAATGCTTGAAAAGAATTGTTAAAAAATTAAGCGAATATTACTGATAAAGTATTTATTAAATCATAAAAACAATGGCCAATGACTTACGAAAGAATGTATATGTCAGTGGACTAACAATACTAGTGAAGTTTACGCAGTTTACACACATATTTGTATCGTTTAAAGTATATGTACATATACCCGGTGTGGGTCTTGGCAAATATTTGAATCGTAAACAAGATGTTCCTATGTCAGTATTTTTAGTTAAGGTAGCACATACAATACATCCTTTGACATCATTTGACTTATTGATAAAATACCCTTTTCTTATTCGCCATGATGATGTAAATGTCCCTGTTTAGATAAAACAGAAAACAATAAGGCATGGTAACAATGAAGTAGCAAAAATTGAAGCTAGTAAATAGAACAGGCTTCAAATCGTAGACTCTTGAACACTTCAGGGCACTTTTAGTTAAATATACCTAGTTATTTATAGAGTAAAACATGAGATACCTATTTTATTTGAAAAGCACATTACAACTTAAAAGAAGGAACTATATAGTTCTGATAATCTTCACCTTCTCATTGCATTATCCAAATTTATCATAGGGATATAATGCTCTTTTGTTTTAGTCTTTATTCGAATTATTCTGAGGCAATCGATGTTTCTAAAAATTACTGAATGATTATTTTTAATCTGGTAAGGTCAAAAATAATTATCTAGTAACTGAGAGAAATTTAATTTTCCTACTTACCTTCTGTGTATGTATCTTGTTGAACTTGATCGAATGGTAAAAGTGTGCCGTCTAAATGCATTTCTCTAATATTCCATTTAAATCTCATATCAGGGCTTAGGGTTCCAAACTCTATGAAAACTGTTACATAAAGATCATCTGATTCAGGAATGAACCAACTGGTTAAATTTGATGAGTCAAATCCTAGATTGTAGCACAGATAAGGTATGCTGCATCTATAATTGTGTTTAAGTAAGAAATGTAAATGAGAAAGGTTGTTAATTGACTGTAGTTTTTCACAAAACATAGAAAACAAGTGCATTTTAAGGTGTGTTCGAGTAGTTAGAATATTCTCCTCTAATGATTTAGCTATCAGTGAGCATTGTATTCAAATTCTCCTTTCGTTTTATAGTTGATCTAAATTGTCCAAATAAGATGTCTGTCGTCAGACTGTCATATCATTTCAAAAGAATTCAATTTTCGGATGATCAAAAATAAATATGATGAAAGAGAAATTTTCTTTAAATCAGCATTTTATTCACTTAAGAATAAACACAAATTTCAAATGTACAATATTTTAATTATCTAGAATGATGAAACCTTTCATGAAATACAAGTATGCACTGTTTAACTTTGATAGAACCCACAAATACGTTTCAATGGGTGTCTGCAATTTAATAGTTAGATATAAATATTTACTCTAATCATTGTTTTTTTATTAAACTTATTAGGAAGTAGGGCCGAATGATCGCTTGAAATGATAGACTAAATGCACCCAAGACTTTCAAACAAGATAAAAAGCATAAAGGATTGCACATCAAACATTTTCTATCCTCCAAAGTGTTTTCTTACTTTCAGTTTAATCAGTACCGGAAAACTATTACAAACTAGAACTTGTCCATAACTGTATACACCATATTAGATTTAAAATTATAGTCACCTTGAAAAGAAAGCCTCCGGAAAATGGGAATATCAAATTTTTATAACAAATGAGTTTAGTGTTACGAGAAGCCGAAAGAGTCCGATAAAGATTAGTGGGATTTCATTTCAGCTAAGTTAGACATGTTTCGGTAACTAATACCAATTGGTCGAAACTATTAACTTTGGTTTGCTGCACTAGCACCTCATACCTATACAAGTAAGCCGAAATTCATGACTCAGATGTTGGGTATGTTGCATAACTAAACAGAACTACCAGTCTTGTTTCACGTTTAAATATCCATCACGAACTCTTCACCTACGCTTTTTAACTTCAAATTGATGATAATTTAACTTGACAGTCGATAATTATAGCTTTTAACTCTGTAATCCCATTTTTAAAGTTAATTTCAAAGATCACCGTTTATTATAGATTAGGTAAATATTCAATCACAGAAGCAAACTGAAAAACTTTATATCATGTTCTGGTTTTTCCCTAGCATCTTTAGCTGAAGTCACTTTTCTGAAAACTTTGTTTTACTAATTTTTTTAGCGACATTAGCAGAACTTCATTGTATGCTATTGAAAAAAGTTAATTTTATTCCAGTGATCAAAAACATGCCTTATTGTAAAGATTGGGGCTACTTCATTTGTAGTCAACAGTTGCATTGTAGCTTTTCCAATCCGTTTGGGTGGTTTACTGCCGATGACTGTAACTTCATATGTTTTATTTATTCTAAAGTTTTCCGTTGTAAAGCACAGAGTACCATTATTTGTATCAATTACTCCTGGACCGTCACCAAAGCAACCAGTATAGTATGCATTGTATTGATAACCCGGAGGTTTGGGCAAAATCAACTTTCCTGACAATTGTTCATCGACTTGCCTGCAATACCATATCCAAGATCCGATACCCTAGAAAAAGTAATATAAGGGCTGTATCTTATAACTATTTCATCATAGATTGATGATGTGAAATTCAAGAGATCTAATGATTTGACCATTCACCATGAAAGTAATAATACCCACATCTGAATACATAGAATATGGATAAAAAGAGAACAAAATCATATGATTTCAAACATCGTTAGAATTCTATAGCGTTTGGATGAATATGTTAGACTAAAATTCATTAGAGAACGAGACTAAATTATCTGGGAGAGGAAGGGTAATTAAAGGAACAAATAGCGACATGTACTTACAGTGTGGCTTTAATCTAAATTACTGATATGGTGAGCCAATCAGAATGTAAATGGACGGTAATCAGAAGTGGCCTGAAAGACAAGTGCATATCATTGGCTAAGAAATGGATATATATATAAGTATTTGTGCAGCCCAATACACTTTCTCATCCACTCTTTTGTTCTAGCTTAAATAGTCGGTTGAGGTGTTAGTGTGTAGCACGTCAGTATCAGATCTCGGACACCGCTCATCATAACAATTCCCGCTTTCATTGAACTGACTATCGGCTTCAAACATGAGTTCCCTATATCTATTAACAGTATTTCAAATATTTAAATAAAAGTTTTTTTCTCTGCTCATCATTCGGTGTCTAGCTCAGAATGAATAATTTCACTACAATGAAATATGCTTCTTATCAGTTTGATTGACTGATTGTATATATAGTCATTTGCAAGTAGTAGACTGACCTAACTTCACTTGTTTTCAGTCATGTCTTTTTTTAATGGGATAATCAAACTCCAATCTCGAAGGTATTTAAGAAACACCCAAGTTGTCGAAACTATCTAAGATAAACACATACCATAGATCAACGAAATTACTAGAAAACCAATTAACAGTAGATTGTTTTCACCTGAAGTAAAGAGTGACCATTCATCTGAATGAGAATTTTTTTGTTCGAGACTCTTAACAAACAACTACAAATCAGTCAAAACAATAAGAACATTTTATTTCCATGGTGGCCAATGAAAATTTGAATTCCAGCATAATTCGCTGTTTAGTTGAAGAGTTATGATGTAAACTCACATCCCTAAGCTTTTCATTATTCATACTTGTCTCTCATCTGGACATGACTGTTTATAATTATAGGGTTACTAAAATGAAAATAAACAAAATTTCGAATCAGTCAGACCCATTGCAACCTTTTGTGTTATCTGGATCAGTGTCCCAGAACACCTGAAGTCAATCACATTTTCACTCATAATTGATGAACTTCATTATGGTTTAGAAATAAAAACGCGTTTGTTCAGTTCAATGGTAACAATTTTTTATGCTGCAAATTGAATCTAACTTATATACAAAGTATTTGATTTTTTAACTCAAGCATACATTTTGTCATAGAGATCATGGATATAAATCAATTATTTTGTCTAATAAGTTAGTACTTTATAGTTTCTTTTTTGAGACTGAATCATCTGTGAAATCTAACTAAATATTGTATAACTGTTTAGTCAAAATAACTGAATTTTACAATAAAATATATGACATACCTGTGGAACGTTTACATTATTCATGGCAGGATCAAGCGAATAAACCTCAGGTTTTAAGCATATCTCATTAATAGATAAATCGATTGTCTTACTGATCGGATTACCCACATCGAACTGAACTAATAATGGTGGTGGGACAACTATTATATATGCGCTTTCTGAGACAATATATGGTACTCCTTGAGGTGGAGTAAAATACGCTGTACACGTAGCTTTGTATGGCCCGGGTGAAAGAAAATTAGCAGGTAAACCAAGTCTTAGTGTTTTGGAACTAAGTTCTTGAGATAATGAGATTGGTCCTAATGTTTGTGTAGTATCTAAATCAATGGAGTATAAAGTCCATAATTTCTCATTTGGTACTGATAACAAACAATCTGGTACGGTAAGTATTGCTTCAATATTTATAATTTCGGAGGTAATTGCTTTAATTGGATAAGTTGTTAATTGTGATGATGCATTCGACATAGATATTTTAGGTGGAGGACACGTTGAAAATGTAACAGGGATATATAATTTAGTATCGACTATTTCCGACGCACTAATAGCCTGGATAGACACATACTGAGGTCCGCTTGAACCATATTGAACACTTAATGAGAATGTCAGATTGACTGGTGCATCTTGCAAACGTAAGTAACTGGGACATAATGAACAGAAAGATGTTGGATCTGTTAATTTCGGATAATAAACTGGACCAACTCCATCTGATTTTTCTACGCACAAACACGCATCGTTTGGATAGGCTTCAAATGAAATACGTATTATACCTTGTTGATTTGGTTCCAACATACCATTACTGACAAGATAAGCTTTTAATCCACGTATGGAAGTCCTAATTGAAATTTCTTTTGAAGTTGATTTCGCGCTCACTGGATTTGAAGCCAGTACTACAATATTATATTCTCCAAACTAAATTTTAAAAACAATTAAAAATGTTAATAAGTGAAAGAAAAAATCGTTCTATTATCATTGTTGAAGTCAATTCGTTTTACAAATATTCTTTCAAATAATTTCAATCGTTTAAACTGCAACTAAACATAAATCGTAATGAACTATAACCTATCATAGAAAAGGAAAGTCTTTTAGACCTCTCAATGGTAACTTGTGAGAAAAATCAGATTAGAAGTTATAATAAATGATCAACGATAATGCTAGAGAAATACTAACTTACATCATTAATCAGCAAATAGGCAAATAGGAAATATCAACTATTGAGTTTCTACAGAATATTTTGTCGAAAACACTTCATATAGTGCAAAACAAAGCAAAGCAAATGCATCATGGTTACTGATAATTTTTGTAGTGAAACTAACTTCATACTAATCTGCTTTCAAAAACGTACTAATTAAATGGTTCAAACGGACTTCTATTGTCAGTGGATAATGTTCTTGATAAGATACGATTTACAATGTGAATGAATTTTGGATCGCCTGGTTCCAAGCAAATTAGTTTCGTCACTTATGACTAATTAATGTTGTTTGATCCTCTATTTGAACTAACATTAAAATGAGCTAAAACCTTCAGACAGTAACTTGGTTGAAAAAATATATTTCAATTCGGAAGTCACCGAAAACTGAATAAGCTTTAATCAATTATTTATCTTGTTACGGAGCACTACAACAGAACAGTATAAGGTATTTTTGATAGCATATTGGAAATCAAAACGTCAGTACTCAAGAGATCATGTCAAGAATTTTCACGTTTTGTAGTGCTGGTGATTAACTGAGAAAAGAATTTCCAGAGTCCGAATAGTAGTGACCAGTATCCAATAGCTGATTCACATACTTATATACAGGTTTAGAGAGCGACAAACCAAAAGCGCCAAAAATGAATGAATTTTAATAATCTTCATAACCATGAGGTATAGTGTATTGAATGGAAATGTAATCGATTAGGAAGTGCGTCAACATCACACAAGTGTATAGACTTGTCTAACTGTTGATTAACTTTCTTGTTATAAGTGATTGCAATAAAGCCTGGTATGTTCAATTCTAGGAATTCCGAGGTCAACAAAATCCATCATCATGCATCAAAATTACTTACAAGTAAATATTTAGCTTTGCTCATTAAAACTCAGTAATCATCATGCTACAATTACCCTATATCCATGTTTGTTCCAGTATATAGTCATTTAATGTGAACCGATAGTCCCATTAAATCATTTGAATATACTATCAGAGTAAAATTTCAGCAATGCAACTGTTTTGCAACGTACTCAAATGCACCAATGCTTTAGTCCTTATGGATGTTGACCCTGATCAGTTAGTTTTTAATCTTATTAATGCTAATAATTCATATGTTCAGATCATGTTCTGCCTGGGATTCACTGGAAAGGTATTTTTTAACCTTTGAAATAATCTGGTATTAGTTTGAGTAAATCTGAAGAATCGAAACCCATATTTCAGGATTACGATCAGATTAAATAATTAAGAAGATTTTTCACTTAATTGATTATTCATTCTATTGATAATACCGACTAATTACTTTTCGGTATTTCATTGTAATTCCTCTTGATAAAAGCTGTATTCATAAATTAACACACAGATACAAGGCAGACTAGATATTTTTGAAAAATTTAAGATGCCAAAGTGTCATAATGTAATCAACAGTTATCTGAATGTGATCACACAAGAAACTTCTTTACTTACAGGACTTCACCGTACTGAAATAATAATGCGGTCTCTTTAATCTATGAACATGATTTCTCTAAAATTAGTGACAACACCAATCTTTTTACATGACTACTCTCAGTAGTTAAGTGACTTTTTAATAACAGATTGTTATTATTAGCTTTACTCAGTATTATATTTTTGGTACAATATAGAATTCTCAGCACAAAGTATTTCTCATTTCTTGATCGATCCTGACGTTAAATATTGAGTGATCGCCAATTAGTTGTTAATAGTTCAGAAATCGACATCTGAATAGTGAACATTCTTTTCAACGCATAATGCTAACAATCACGATGTCTCTGATTGTGATTTTTTGTATAGAGAAAGATCGTAGACTATTCATAAACGCACCTGAACAGGTTATACGATCAATAGACATAATGATGTGTTTAAAAACCCAGGTAACTTGGTGAAATATCTAGATAACAGAAACAGGTAGCCCAGAAATTCAAGCAGGCTGCCAATCCTATAGATATTGTCAGATGGCGACAATTTGGTGCATAGGAGAAAGGACTATTCATAACTATACACAAAACGTAGTTACTTCATCTATTAGTGGATTTCGATAGCCAACCATTTGCCGACTTTATTTCAATCTTTAAAAAACCTTAATTCTACAGGAAACTATGGCCTTCATAAAACATGCAAAGTTTATTTTTGATAATAAACAAAATGGGCGAATTTCAAACTAACGTGTATTCTAGTAAATACTCATCGAAAAATTCATATGTACTTGCTATGTACTTTATCCATTGAAACCTACCTTAGTAAATGTGTAGAAAAAGTAATTATTCCAAACAGTTCCTGAGTCCAGTATGAGATTATTAGTTTTATTTATAATTGAATAAGTGATATTAGCCACATTATTTGGCTTTCCATTTGCAAGCACTTGGAATTTTAATTGAACTCCTAGTGGATAAAAGTTTCCATCTGCTCCATAACCAGGATCACCAGTAGATGCAACTGTTATTATCAAATCAATTTGTTGGAATAAACCAAAAGCGGCAACCTAGTTACAGAAACGATCATAAAGAATTTTAATAAACTTGATTTATTTAATGTTTTCTAGTAAGCTATATCTTGCTGAAACCAATGGATTTATTGAGATCAAGAACAACTTTATATTAAGTAATTATATAACTAGTCCTGCCTGATTTAACTATTTGGGGAGTATTCAAAATAACAATATTTTACTTCTAAAAATATCATGAAAGGATAATTAACCAGTAATTTGTATATCAGAGTATAACTTACGATTTAGTAAATCTGATAACCCGAAATTTGATAATCTGACTTACATTTACACCATTTAATAGACGATAGTAAGTATCAAAGCTAAGTATACCTTAAAATAAATAATTAAGATTGTTCAAAACGAAAACTTTAACCTGATGTTTTTCATAATCTACCATGTTTACAGTAGTCGATCAAAACTAGCAAAAACTACTTTAACTCCGTGATCGGTAAAACTTATTGCCATACAAATCGGAAACATTAAAAAAAAGGTTATGTCACTTTCTCTACCTTTGTTGCTTTTAGATCCAATAAGCTAGGAGTTATCTCTGTGATATTAAATGGACCAACATATGCTATATATTTTCACAACTCATATTTATCTGATTTAATTGTTTTGTCTTGAACAACTCATATTATTTCATACAGTAAATGATCTCTCACGTAACATACGATATAAGGTATTAATTATCTTATCATTTCCCAAACCTTATATTACCTATATTTGTTCGATTATGATTCTTAAAATTCTATTTCACTACCAGTTTGATTGAAGGGAGCTTTACGCATTAGTCATAATTTCAAGTTGAAATTCCTTGATTTTAAAAATATATTTGCCTTGGTCATTTTCTTATCAGTAATTTGAACTCACAACTATGGATTAGGTTGTGCTCACTTTTATCAAACATACGATTTGAAGAAAATCTTATGATATGAGGCAACAATCATAAAATAATGTGGACTTACCTGAGTATTTTTCGTCATGGTACTTATAACATTGTCCAAGGTGACAGAAGCTTGAAAGTAATTTAAATCAGCTAAAACGTGACTGATTTTTTGTGGTTGATTTGCCAATGTTAACATTCCTTCTGAGAGTGCACTTCCATCTCCCCATACCACTTTATATTTAGCTAGTGTTGGAAAATTGGCAGCTATTCCAGTGTATGTTAAAGTAAATGTGATAGATCCTGAAATATGAAGCATTATATTTGGTTGTAAAGTTAGAATTTGGAAACATTTTTGGTAAATGACACACAGCTGATTTATGAACTATCATTATTTTTTAGCATCTGCGATCTTTCCAACTGTTTCCTTAGATACTGAAATACTTCTATCATAAATTACAATATCGTTTACAATATTGTATGTTTGGAAGTATATAAACGTCTAAATGTAAATAATGTGTAAATGCCAGCTATGTCGTCGGTAGGTGGTATACAATATCTGTCAATTAGTCATGAATTATGAATTTGATTTGAATAAGCAAATAAATAGCTCACAGTTAGCACTGACAGTAAAACACAATAGTGGTGATCTAACTAAAATCATTTGTCAAAACGATAGGTTTAAACAATACTATTTAGTCCTAAATAAGAAAAACAAATGATCGGGCAGGAACTATTTTAACCCCTAAAGTTGTAAAATGAATGAGTATAATAGGTATTTTCATACAAACAACTTTATGTTTGTCAGTAAACCTTGATAAAGATTAGTTTTACTCATTCATTATGAAATTATTTCAACAATGTTTAAATAATACAAGGATTCTGTTCTTCAATTTAACTTCACCAATGACTAAGCTGATCGGTTTAGCATCAAACAGAGCTGATTAATGAAATTCAGTCCATAATCCATATTAGGATGATGTATTTAAATATATAATATTGAACAATTGAACAAATTCTTTTTAAAACTAGAGATCAGGCAAATCAAAATTATCAAATGATTGTTGAGTTTAAAACTATTGAACATTTTCCACTCAACATTCACACTTTTGTATAACTCTATTCATGTTCTCAAGAAAGTTAAACAAAAAACACGGTGTTTATCTAATTCTAGTACAGCATTCATAATATGGAAATAGGCATATCTAAAATGTAATACCTTTACAGGAATTATGACTTAGCTAATAATAATACCATGAATAAGTTTTACCTGTGAAAAACATCAATTAATTCATCCATCAAAATTCTACTTTCAATAGTTTGAATTAAAAAAATATTTCTAATTAAATTTTCAAATTTAATCTTCATCCATACATTAAATAATAATAATAATAATAATAATAATAATAATAATAATAATAATAAGGGGTAAATCAGATACTCACCAGGTGGGTATACTGCATGACCGCCATATTCGATATTCATATTTACTATTTTATTCCGAACATCAACTATAAGTGAACATGACTGGTTGCTGACTAAATTCTTTGCTTGTATTTCCTCATAATACAAACCGGCAACAGGATAGTTGTAATTTATCTCTGTTAATTTAGGTGCTAAAATGTATTTTTAAGTTAAAATACCGGTTAGTATTAATACAAATGAACTAATTACCTAATTTTTAATAACTGTTAGTCATTTTTCCCCCTTCATTCAAACATGGACGTCAAACAAGCCAGCTTTTCGACAAAAATCTGTTTCCATTTACCAGAATATCTTTTCACTTCCATGTATTATAATTTTTGCTAGGTTATTCATCTCATTGCGAAAAAAACTAAGTTGTACAACGTTTTGGAGAGTAAGATAATTTTCATTGAGTTGTCAGTGTTTGCAGACAAAAGAGGCTAATTAAAAAAACCTTATGTATCTCAGTTGCAATCCTTTGAATATCAACAGTAACGCGTGTTCACAATGTGGAGAAGATGCGTTTCTGCTTCTCTGTCGGTCTTGTTACCAAACTCATCACTATGATTTGTCGCACTCCAACTACCTTCTCTAATCATATGTTTGCAAATGTGAGAAGAAAAGCAGTCACAAACAAATACATAAGGATCGACTGATCTAACTTGTGTGAAGCAATTTTCAGAACCTCACGTGTCCACGAAGTAGTTCTTTATGGTGTTGCATGTTTATGATGTGATGCATCATAGACATGCAGTTATGATTTTCTTTACAGTTATATTATATCATCCACTTTTCTTGGACTAAACTTAACAAAAACGAGGTTCTTTTTACTTTGGAATTTCGCATCAGTTTTACTTCGCTTGAGTGACCAACTTAACAACGGAAAACTTATCTCTTACTCTGAAAAAGATAGATAATTATTTACCTTGATTCGTAACGTTTATTTGAGTAAACTATTAATCAGAAAGCTTCAAAATACAACATCACACTAAATAAATTAAAGATTACTGATTTAAGTACAGGATGATGTATACATTTTTTTAAGATTATACAAAAACGAACATGGATTTTGTCACAATGGTTTGCAACAAACATATTTGATCATACATTTTGGGACAGATGCATCATACATTTATGAGAAATGTTCGCAACAACTTCAAAATTTGTAAAATTCCCTAGTGATAGCAATAGATCTGATTCATTTAATACAATTGCTGTAAGCAATTCAGTGCTCTAAGGTGGGTTTTTTTCAAAAAGAGCGGCCTATGTTATCAGCTTAGTACAAGTATAACTCCAGAAAACTCAACAGTATAAAACTAACCTGGTACATTGATTTGTTTGGAATCTGTTCGGTTATTTAACAAAGCATTGATGATGACATCTTGTGCACTTTTATAAACCACTGAAATCACTAACAGTTTTCCTGTCTCAACTGGATTTGGTGCAACTTGACAACCAAAATCTTCAATTCTTGCTCTAACTTTAAGTGTGGTAACAAAAACCTTTTGGTCAACTGGATTTGTAAGTAAAGCGGTAACTCCGAAATCCCCCTCACTTTTGTAAATATGACTGTAAACAGTACCTTCGCGGAAATCGTCTAGGGTGAACTGACTGTTATCGCCCCAGTCTAAGCTTATTTTAGTTAACACTGCAGGATTTCCAGATTGCCTTGTTATCTTCAAAGTTGCGGGATCGTAAACAGCTACAGATTCAGTAATGGCTTGAGCCGCGTAAACCCCAATCTTATCAACTACATAAACCGTGACTGTCCTGTTCTCTGTATTACCCCCTGAGGATGCTGAAAACGTCACAGTGTACTCACCGGCGTTTAAATACTTTTTGGTCAACTGATAATCCTTTGGCCATGTTTGCAACTGCATAGCGGATTGCTGGATTACTTCACCGTCCCCATAATTAACAGTCAAAATGATTGATGTGCCTTCTTGAAACGAAACACGAAAAATCATGTTTTGAGAAGGGCCAGCGTAACTGTTTAAGAGATGAAGAAATTGAATACAGCGATCAGTTAAGCACAATCATAATTGAAGTTTCAAGCAAAGTCTTTTTTCCCTTGTGTCTAACTGTTAAACGCTAAGCAAAACTTTGTTTCTAAAAACCTACTCAAATTTTAAGTGAGATTACTTCAAGTAGTTGGAATTAGAAACCTTAAAAACAATAATTTTTATTTCGACTCGGCTCACAAATCTGTAAAAATATTTTTATAATCTCTAGTTAATGTTTAACACTTACTGATAGTTACAAGACTTATGTATGATTATGTAACTGCATAATCATTCTAGAAAATGATGTTGGTTACCAGTTTATTGCAATTTCCAAAGTAATTTCTTCTGATTCACAGTTAGTTTACATTTAGTAATACACTTAACTTTAATCAGTTACAATGAACAGAAAAATATATAAGTCGATTTATAAATGAATTAGTAGTGAACGAACATTGAAATAAATAGTGATAATCTAAATTTTGTTTCAATATAGCGAACTTCAACTCCATCTTTGCTTTGGCTGCTTCAGGACAGTCTCACTCTCGTGTATGTAGATTAAGGTTCAAACTAATTTGAGTAATAACTTGAAAAATCACTTTCCGTCACATAAATGGTAAACTTTGCTTCAGATGATTAGGTACTACCATACATATGTTATTTTTAGCTGGACTATCGAAGAAAATACTAAAATTGTGATTCATAATGATCAAATAAAGATACATAGCATATTTGTTACAAGTTCTTAGTTGAAGCAACTATATTTACACATTTAAAGAAGGTTGTATCTTCTTTCGAAAAATTTTGTAATCATATATCGTCACATATCTTTTACTGCTATATATCAAGAGTATAAAACCTGTTTATCACAAGTGTTTTTTTCCGAGCTATCAGGTTGTGTTTGCTTGATGGACGTTTGTGCCGAATCTATAACTAATTTTTATAAATTCAAAATAAAAAAACTACAAAGTTAATCTTTTTGATAATATACTTCATTTACAGTATGAATGTTTCCAGAACATAGTTCTTCATAAATCAAAAAATTCCTCATTAAAACTTACTTTGGCTCAACTTGTATGTTCATCCCAAGTACTGGTACATCAAACAGTATCTGACCAGTAGTTAAATTTGAACTAATTGGATTGGTTGTCCATAAGCTGTAGTTTACAGACGCTATCTGTGACTCACTCACCAGTTCAGATGTGATAGTTTTTTGTACATAATCAATGCGTATATTTAAAATTTGATTAAAGAAAGTCAACTGAGATGTTAAATTATTCCCAGTTATGAAAGTAAAAACAATCTGAGCTGGTTTTGCCACTTGTAAACTCTTGGTTACGAGTGAAAGTCCTATTGGAAAGGAGAAATGAAGAATAACATAGCTTGTGAAAATGCTTCACAGGATGTTTCACTTTAGTTTAAATAATCTTTGAAAGTCTAAAGGTTTAATTGATGACTCTTAACTAGTACATACTTATATCTTGAATGGGGTTCTGGAATATTGATCACTAACTTAAGATCTACTTTGTCGGAACTAAACTCTATTTATACTTTTCCTAAAGATCCAAAGAACATTTTTCATTTATATCAAAGCTACCTTCCCAATGTTAATTTTCATTTTGATACAAATACTAGTGAAGATGTCAAGGGTATTTGGAGTTTGACAACGCTTTAACCAGTAACACCTTCTACTATGAATCGTATCCACCAAGTGAAATCAAAAGACAGAAGCCAGGAGGTTCCAATATATATTTGATAGGCTATCTATAGATCGAGGATCGACTGACCTAACCTGACTAGCGATTGCAGGGGATGTTGAGCACGGCGTTCCCACTCGTGATCTGGTGTGGATGCATGACTGAGCGCCTTCAGCTAGGTGAGTCCATTAAAACTAATGTGTTCAGTATCCAATGTCGAAGACTTACAGAGATATTGATTTGGGGGATTTATTTACCGCTACACTAGTGTGAATAATAATGGTATTTTCGTACTAATTTTTGTTTTTATGTTTCATTAGATTTAATTCGACCTTTATCCTAATAATTTTATGTTTATGTAGAAATTTTAAAAAATGTAATCCACTAGCGCATCACACAGTTTTGACAAACCTTATCTTTCAATCTTCATGTACCACTGATCATGTGACTTTGCTTAAACACTCAGTAAAGTAATCTGAAATAAAATATCTAGGTGTTACTATTTCAATAATTGGTAGAACTGCTATTTGTATTAATAGAAGATTAGGCTTTCATATCAGTGAATGCACAATAAACAATAAACTTTATATTTACAGTATAGAATAAGGAGTTTTTGTTGCTTGCTTTTATTCACTTCAGTTCACTTAAGATCCCAGTGAAAAACAAATTTTCTTGTGTCATTAGATTGAGCATTGTTTTATCATCCAGAAAGAGATTATAGATCTAATCACTTGCCTAAGATCACATCTCAGTATTATGTCAAAACATTTCACCATGGAAAGTATTATGGAATTTTACTGACCTGTGAAACGCTCTATTACAAATTGTTCCAGTTTTCTACTAATAGTTTCCACAGGAGTTCGACAAGTCACATTCCAGACTACCACACCACTTTGAATATGCATGTAATCAAATTGTGTCATACTGTCATTTTTAGACAAAACACCGTTCAGATACCAGGAACATATAAAACTGTTTCCAGATAGATTTAATTTTAGAGTGGTTAGTCCATTCAATTCAGTAAACTGATTTCCTTGTATTTCATTAAACTCAAATTTGTCTATCACACTCACATTTTGTACAATTATTTTGTACTGGATACTGTTGCTTATATTGACGGTCAAATTATAATTACCAGCAGTACTGTAGGTTTTTTGCACCATTTTAACTGATGTTGTTTTCTGTACTGTGCCATCACCAAAATCCCATACATAAGTGACATTAATGCCTATTAAAATAAAGCACATTAGGTATATATATATATATATATATATATATATTAGTTATAAAAATGTTTTTGTGCCTGATGTAAAACATAAATAAAAGTTTCTCTTTAATTTCGATCTTCATCATGCGATGAGTTCACTCAACAGTCGAATCATTCAGGTAAATTCAAGTTTTTGAACTTTTTTTTCAGTTACTCATTCTGAAGGGAATTTAAGCTTATTGAAGATGCAAGGAATATTATGACTTATTTACAAAAAAAATTGTCATAAAATTCTTACAAACTAGTTTGATTACTTTTACTGCATTCTGTTCGAGACCGTATTAATCATAAAGTTAAACGGTGACTATCAGCTCATTTGTTGGAAACATTTACATATACTGAGTATTCAAAAACGAAGAATATTTGAGCGAACAATTGTTTTCAATAACTTCATCATCAGGCTCTACAGTTATAAGTCCATAATTATAATATTTTACAAAGGCCAAAAATAAGGCATGTTTTAATGAGTTTGACAATGTTATGTGTTAAAAAATTGGTGAGCGTTTGCGTCTGTTACGATATATATATACTTCAAAAAATTGTACTATTTGCAAATTAGAAAGGTCATTCAGCACCATTCTTTCTCACTTGGTAGATAGTGAACATCATATTAAAATAGAGGAAGCTTTCTCTGTTCTATATCAAGTTCCAAAATATCTACCTCAAGGAGCTAGATTACGACTACTTTACACAGCCGAAGCCATCTGGATCAACTCCAGAAGACCTAATTTATGCATCCAGAAAAAATATATCCAGCCTCTATGTTTACCCTGGCCTACGACTGGATCACCAAATACCTAGAGTGAATATTATAAACCTCTTACCCCTTCCTTCCTTCATTTTATTTATTTTCCTTATTACCATTATTTGTCATTATCTATATCTTAATCTTCATATCCATCATTCCCAATTTGTTGACCGTAATTACCTTGATAACACCCCCCTTATTACATATTATTATTATCTCAGTTGACAAAATTATTTTCAATTTTGCAATAGTACTATTATATTATCTTATTGTGACTGAACAATTTACTGACCTTTATTGAATGACCTTTCTAATTTGCAAATAGTACAATTTTTTGAAGTATATATATATCGTAACAGATGCAAACATGCACCATTTTTAACGCATAACATTGTCAAATTCATTAATACATGCCTTATTTTTGGCCTTTGTAAAATATTATAATTATGGACTTATAACTGTAGAGCCTGATGATGAAGTTATTGAAAACAATTGTTCGCTCAAATATTCTTCATTTTTGAATATTCTATGGGGATTTTTAAATATACTGAGTAATTTAAAAGTTGGTGAACTCCCCCCAAAGTACTACTAGCTGAGGTTTTGGTGACTGAAATAAGAAAATTTAAGTAGTTTGGATATATGCACACTGAGCTTGAGTAAGATGTTTGTCATTTTTATGACTCAATTCAATCAATATGGAGAAACCTTATTATGTATGTTACCGTTTCTCATCCAGCTCAATGTCATTTATAATATTGGTTTTTTAGTACAAAGCATTAACTCTAATACGTTCATTTTGCAAAGTTGCAATATATGTACTAAGTTTAGCCAAAGATTTTCATTCTCGGATAAACTACAAAGTTCACTGAGAAAAATCAGATGAATCAGTATGAGAATATTTGTTCAGCAATTAATTACCTGTATGACTTTTAAGTTCTAATGAACATTGTATTTCCGCAGCACATGAGTTTAATATTAGCTGAGTTTCATTTATAATTTCATCTATCATAATAGTGGTCTTAATGAGAGCCGGTGATGTATAGTTCTTGCCCCAGTAACTGTACAGCTGAAGTGAGACGTCTTGATACCCTGTCGTATTTATATATCCAGTCAATAATGCATCATGAGTTGGCCTGATCCAAGCCCCAATCTACAATTGAAAATATCATTATTTTAGTGATTTTCGAGAGATAGATAGTTTTAAACACAGAGCTATTTCAGCAATCATACAACCCTACGTGTTTCATCAAATGTTTCTTGAAATAGCAGCATCCATAGTGTTTTAACTATACTTTTAATGTGTAGACCATCTACATAATAAAACTAAATTTGAATATTATCTCCAAATGACTGTATTCAACCACCTATCCTTCAATATAAATGTGCGAATAGATTCTTATAGTTCTGTTTAATTAGCTGGAAGTAAATGTCCAGTTTTAATGAATGAGCATGGTTCATTATTATTGAAATAAAGTTATACTTTCTCGAGTGTTACAGCAATATGAATCTATCATAATTATTATATTCAAGCATTGTTCATGATTAAATCAATTTTGAGCTCATTATACTAAAGAAAGTAAAGCTGGGTTAAAATTAATAACAGAGATATAGATAACCTTTCTTTCTTCTGGGAAAGTAGCATCTGTTGTTAAACTTACCTGATGTCGTATAGAAGTCAAACGCTTTAGACTACTCCTTAATACAGAACTTCCATTAGTTCCAGAAAACGTTGTCAAGGTTTCTAAATCATCAGCTTCATATGATGAGGAAGGAGCACATCCAATACTTCCTGCTAAGATACTAGTGAATCCTATTCGATCACCTGACTGAATAGTCCATACTGAAGGCAACTTAATACTCTGCCAACCTAAAACTGTTAATTTGACAGTATAAATCTAAAAAATAAAATTCCATAGAAAATATCAGATAAACGAGATCAATTAGTCAAAAAAATATTCAATATGTTTTCAACTCTAAATATTACAGCTCAGGTTGTTTTTAAAGACTATGACTTCTTAATGCGTTCAATAACAGATAGGATATGGGATTTTAGAGCAATTAAACTTTAAACGTTAACTACTGAAGCTTTCATTGTATTGCTAGACAAAGTCACTGGTAGAACCCTGAAAATGATCGATTTAAATTTTTTTAATCAGTGACTGACAACTTGTCCTGTTGAAATGGGATATGATTGGTTGATACTGTAAATTGTACTACTACTATCTGCAAATACAATGTTTCTTGCTGACCTAATAGTTGGCTAACATTTCCTCATAGGTTGATGAACTGGATTTATCTCAATGTGCTGAATGAACTGAGAGCTACTCTCTCAAAAGTCTTCTTAATGTGCATCCCCACTTTAGTATCTCAGTAGTTTCTATGTCTAAATCATGTTCATTACTGCCCAGATCCATTAATACGAGTGAAAACATTCCGTTACGTTTGAAAGTTAATTTTTGTTTATGTAAACAGAGATGAAGATGAGGATCACTTTTTAAGATATTGTATTTAAGTCATGTGCGACATTTTATTTACTCGACGACATTTGACATTTCATCTCTTGACATTGAATCCATCGGTTTGATTGTATTGGTTAACTGTGAACCATTTCACGGAGGTTTGTTATCGAGATATTTCTCATTGAACTATGCCATAGACAAACAGTTTGAAGTGTCTGTATAACTACATTTGAGCCTAACAATCGCTACGGTTTTTATAAGACTGCATATTACGGTCACCACATATGACCTTTATAGCTTAGGAAGATGAAATTACCACCATAAGGGCCATTTCAGTGGAGTCATTTAAATTAAGGTACTTTGTAAACGCATGCTAAGAAAGTCACTGAAAATGACTTGGAGAATGATATTTTAGAAATTTGAAATAAGTTTGGAATTATTGTGTAAGAACGAGTAAGTAGGAGTTGCTTGATCTTTTTTCAGGATAAGGATAAAACATATTACTGGAAGTTATCTTCGTTATAATATCTGTAAAGCTACATTGGTAGTTTTGTGTTGACTATTGAAAATTAAACCGGAGTAAATGTTTAAGAGATTCATATTTCGAGGTAGGAATAATGCAATCGGGGGAAACGTAGTTATATAATTCTTACTCAGTTACCCATGAAAGGCAAAATCTTAAGATGTTAGTCGTTATTGGCATCAAACTTTACAGTGAAAACTGTTTACTCTGATATTGATCAGTAAACAGATTGAGTAAAAGGAGGGAAATGCTTAAGTCAGTTAGAAACATTAACTAAATCAACATTATTTAAGCCGTGAATATATTTCACCATTCTAATAAGCATGAACTCAGCTTTGAATGACTAAGTTCTGATTTAATGAAAATATTTATAAGTATAGTCATTTTCACTTAAGCCGCCTGTACTTAAACATTTACGAAGCAAAAATCTTAGGGTGTAACATAATCTGATTTTGATCCCTTATCAGCAAAGAAATAGAACTGATATAATTTAATAATCGTGTATCTGCTGGAGTGACAAGACTGGCTTGTATCTTTAAAAAAATAACCTCATATTAATTTTCCAAAGCAAACCATGAAATATCACATTTTGTTTTCGCTCTAAATAGGAATCTGAAATCTAAATGCAGTGGAAAAAATCAAGGAATTACAATTTTACAGTCAATAACTGGACCTAATGTCCTTTATATGATCCAGGAAGATACAGCACCCTAAGGTTACTATTAGCTACTTATGGGTTTGTAGAAATACTTACTGATGGATTTTGCGTTCTTCAAACAATCCAGTAATAATCGTAACCGATTAAATATTTTCTACCATTTTAAGCTTATAAGATGTACAACAAACCACAATAGTAGAATAATAACTAAATAATGATTAAGATGTATTACCTTGTGTTATATATTGACCAGAACACAGGAAAATATATTTATCACGGCTACATACGAGTGGTTTCCATGGTTTGACCTTTGAAAAATGACCCGGAGTAGCGATTATCCTAAAACACTTTATAGCTAAAGCTTCACTGTCAGACATGTAACCTACCTACCACTTATTCTGTACATTTAAGATACGATTATATCAAGTTACATTGCATCTAATTACATATATGTGTTTTGTGCATAATTACTGAGACGATATGAGATCTATGTAAATCAATGATGAAAGTCAATGCAAAGTCAGTGATTTCAATGAAAGATAAATTCATTGGATACCAAGGCTAAATCTCTTCTACCACTAAATATATAACGAATATGTTCTTCAAATCCATTTTAGACACATATTTTCATCAACTGAAGTTCTAAGGACTTGGAAATTTCGGTCTCCTTTGTTTAATAAAAAGCGTTTTGTCGTCAAATCCTCACTTTGGTAAATATCACCTGACGTTTTTTGTTTTCGAGGTTTCATAGTAATCCAAAATTTATTTCGTTAATACATCACACATTTCACATAGATTATGTCTTATTAAAATCTGCAGAGAAAATTAACTAACTAAAATCTTCAGAATGATAGCAAGTACTACCGTTTATGGAATGACTTACTTCTATCACTTGATAATCATAATTTTCAACAATTATAGGTTTATCTAATTTCAGTTGCCGTAGATTACCGCAGTAGGATGATGATATATTAACGCAATCCCGGACCAAACCAGAAAACACTTGATCTGCCGTACACGTTACGCTACGATTGTTGGTCGATGAACAGCTATTGGTTTCAAAATTGTACATACCACCAGTGCATTGAACGCGTAAAAGCTGAAATAATAGACAAACAAAGAATGTCTGACCATAATTATCCTAACTGTATTAATTATTTAAAGTGGCAGGAACAATATAGATAATTTCCTAACTCTGTTAACTCAATCCAGATTAATTATTGTTTAATATATTGAAATGTAAATGTTAAGACTGTAAATGGGTGTTGAATGATGAATGTAGCCAACCAATCTTCTGATATTTGACAAGATGCACCTTAATTAATCTGTCATTCAACGATTTCCATACCTTACCTAGTTTCGGTTTATCGAAATTGGTCTTTGTGACTATAAATAGATAGCTAGTACCGGGGAAAATGAATAACCATACATTTCTGTCTACTATGACGGCTTTGCTTAGGTCTGCTCTATTAGAGTAAAACTGGAATTAAATTAACAGCTGAATCTTTTATTTCGCTTATTACTGCGATAGACTTTTTACCGAAATCAACCATCACGAATTCGGCTGCGAATCAAGTCCTTGTTAAACTTAATTTATGATCTTTACCTACGTCTCGAAAAGTGTGCTTATTGCCATCATTCAAGCGATTTTGTTCTTCAGTTAGCCAGGTAAATGTAGAAAATCTGAATCACTAGTTTATTTCAACTAACTAACCTCGTGGATTATTTTCCATTTTCAACTATCCATAGATCACTGGTAATGTAACAAACAAGTGTTGGTTTCAAAAGATAAGCTCAGGTTGAATAGTTCAGTATGTACAGATAACGTTTTGGGGTGTGAAACAATGTAGTTTGGCATATCAGGTACATAAAGTTCTCGTCTACAAAGTCATTCAGTAACTAAATCTACACTTCTATGTGGTTCATCATTTATAAAATAGGTCAAGGCTGAAGGAAACATCCAACGGAAGAATGACTTTGAATGATATTTGTTTATGTTATATTTGATGTTTATTTTGCATGACAACGTTTTACTCATTATCTGAAGACCCTAAATTAACAAATAATTTAAATTTGTACCAAATGATCAATCAATCAAATAGTATAAATACGCGGTCATTGGTACTGGTCAACCTTTGTCGTACTAATGACTATTATTCTACTAATATCGTATTTATTGAATAATGAAGATATCTCAGTGCATCTATTAATCGAATCTTAAAAAAGGAAATTAAACTTATTTTCATCTCAGTAGACTCCTTATGTGACAGGTGATCAACCATTAGTGAATCTTACCAAGAAGATATTTGTTTGTGGCTGAATTGAAATAAATACAACTTACATAAAAGGTGACATCAGTTAATAGAAGTGCATGTATTTGAATTGTACTGATTGTTCCATCATAGCGAGCTTGTGAACCAGTGATGATTAACTTGTTTGTGTTATAATTTATCATTGTATCTTTCATACGTTTTGGAGGCAGTCCTATCCAATCATAATTTGGCTCTGAAGAATAAAAAACAAAGTAACTGCGCCGAAAAAAAGAAACAACAGTGGTATATCAAGTTAATAAACTCAAATTTACAATAAATAAAGATTAACAGAATTAGATTACACCGTACCAAAGCTCTGTAACTACATATTATAACATTCTGGAACGAATCAGGAAATTCAGTTGTATAAATAAGTTATGAAATAAACAAATACTTGTGCTTAAGCTGGTTTGTTATCGTGGTTAATAGTGTGACATCACTTTAGTCAATCAACAGTAGGTTCTATATCTTCATTATACATATGTGTAACAGCATCTATCAGCCTCATATATTAGTAAATTTCAAGAAATCTCTGTTAAATTGCATCACCTCTAATTCTGAATTAAAATTATTCATAATCTTAACGACTGGGAAAAAAACAAATGTTAGGTACATGAGTTATACTTGAAAGTTTATTGATTTGAAAAATACAACAAACATAAGTTATAATGAAACGAAACAATTTATCCAATTTAATATAAGACACTAAAATATCTCCTTGTCAACACCTCATGTATCAAACAATTCACTATGACGTATGGTCACTTAGTTTAGTGTTTGCATTACAGTAGTGAATATATATTAATATTGTCTACCATCTAATAACCAGTCGTTGCCATTGCCACAGTAACGTTCATTCAATCAAAAACATCTTTAATTAAAGTAATAACTTGCTTCATTACTCAGCATGGCTTGAAAAATATCATTTTGATGTAATATACGATGTCTTTAACAATATTCTTCTCTGAATTGAATATCTATTATTGTTAATATGTGGTATTTTTATTTCTAGCAATCAACAATCAAAAATCGAGTTGTTTGATCGAATACTGAACTAGTAATACTGAGATAAAAACTATTCGTGGTTTTGTAAGTGGCATTTATTAAAAATGTTATATCCACTGGAAACGACAATGTATAGTTGTGGTATGTGCTATTGATGTCGACAGATATAAGTAGTATGCATCATCAGTCGAAAGTGAAATACTTGGCAGCAGAAGGTTAAGAAGATCAAAGAAAAGAGAACGAAAACAGTGAATGATCGTTGTGGAAACAAATAAACAATCAAGTCTGTAACGATTGATTGACATTTTGCAAATGAATTATTTATTGTATGGTTATCAGATTTTACTAAGATATTCTGTAATTTTGTTTCGGAATACGTTTCGTTGTCCCCACTGGTGTTCGCGCTCACTACATAGTTTTCAACAGCTATTTCTCAGTATTTTAAGGCCGTTGGAAAAAAGGATTTGAAAACCAGGTAGAAGATCCATTTTTAAGCTTTTCTCAACTTTAATGTCCTATCCTGCTACTCTGATTATTTTCTACATCAGAAGTAAATCAATCAAAGCGTTCCCGTGCAAATCATTATAGTTATTGAGTTACTGGACGCTGTATTCTGAATACTTGGATCAGACTGTATATCTTTGTGAATCTCATATCTACTACAATGCGCTTCCTCTGAATCAGGTCATAAGACATTTTATTTCACAAAATTAATTCCTCATGTACTACCGAACAAAATGAGCAGTTGAACACCATCGATATTAATCTATAGTTTTTCATGACGAGAAAAATGATCTTATTTCATCTGATTAGAGCTAACATTACTGGGAGGACTAACTCATTTACAAGAACGTGATATAAAAAACAAATTAGTCTAGCCAACTGACTTGGATAAGACTGTAATCCAGTGTTAATGTCACTTCACTCAGCTTAATATAAATTACAGACAGGGGCGAAAAATGACAAACAAATACACTTGCTGACAAGTTACAACTTTGTTGACTGTATAATTCCTAAATGAAACTCCGTTAATATTGTATTTGGGTGGTCAGAAAATCATAAAGGTGTGAAAAATGTCACATATGTAGAATGTAATGTGCATGACATAAGAGTTATGTCTCACTCAATTTTTATACGCTGAAGAGATATATACTTGTTTTTACTCTCAACTCAGAAGGCCATTTTTGTAATAATCCAAATACTTTAAAGTAATGGTCTGTTTCCTGGATTTCTGTTGTCTAATGATGACTTACTGTTTACTAAAATAGTCAAGTAAAATGTATAGCGTTCATTGTAGATTATGTAATCTTAACGAAGTTGTTTCAGCCAGATGACCCATTTGACCAGGAAGAGGACAAGCAATATAGATTTACTAATTTTTAAATACTCGTTGTTTTCGTTCTAAATGTGACCAGAATGGTTATTTTGAAAACATTAACTCAAGAAGTACTATTTTATTAAACCTATAAATTTTGACTTCAACAATACAGTAGGTATAGAGATATATCGTTGTCAAAATAATTTTAAAACAAGCGCAGTCAGATGAATTTCTTAGAAGTTGGAGTTATCTAGCAAACTGGGGTTTTAAGAGAAAACTGTATTCATTCATGTACTTTATAGCATGTGGTTGAATAGTTTAGAAAGTTATTGGCTCAAGGTTTTAGATATGTAATGATGACTAGCGTAGAGAAGTGGGTCGAATGACCAAATTACGGTTTGCATATCGTCTATTATCACGCTTAAATCGTTAGTCTAGTTCATCCACGAGTGAAATAGAAGATTTAATAAGCTGTATAGTAAATTATAATAAATCAGCTAATCAAATAGGATGGGTTTTGCTGATCGTAATTCATAAAGAATTTACTCATTCCATTTCTGTATATTATCAAAATAAGTTAAAAAGTCTCTGTTTGTGATAAAATACATGATTGTTGAAGGTTGGGTCAGGCCCAATGTAAATAAATTAGAGAGGTCTTAAATTTGTAGAAACTGTTAAACCTCATGTTGTTAAGTGGTAAACTTCATAATTAATGATGAGAATAATTTGTTTAAATTAAAACACGTAAGCATAAATATGAATAATTTATGATTGTAAGTTCTGAGCTTCATTTCAAAGCAGACATGATACCAAGCAGCTTCTAGCCAGATAAATTCTTCAGACTACTTACTATCATGATCAACACTGTTTTTGAAATAGAATAATTTTAAAAACTCATCGGTTTTCATAAAAATAACTAGAAATTCCATTCATTTCCTGGTGAGACATTTGAAAGACGATAAAGTGACCTTGAAAGTGTCAAGCTAATAACTAGGACCAAACGAGGATTATAAATCAGTGTGAGGAATTAGAATTATGATTCACAGTTTGTGGTTAAGATTAGGACATCAGCTATAATGTCAAAACTCAGTATAATCAAATGGATGAGAGAATTCCACGCCTAAATCCGAGACCTATTGTCTTATACCTTGTAGGTTCGTCCGTAATTTATAGTCTCGCCGATCCTCTTCACAAAACAAATGAATTCAGATTATTTAAATGCGATAATTATTATTGCTTTACTGAAAACTACCAACTTTTAAACCTCTCAAATAATCTTCAGTTGTTTAAATAACTCATCTAATAAACAACGTTCTTATTTGTTGATAACAATTTAAGATATTTATGTAATAAAATGCACTTGATTTGTATCTTTTCTCACTTAACTCACAATCAACTATCTGGATCGTGAAACTTGTGTCACTTCATAAGGATTAGAAAATTCATCAAAAATTAATTTATCAACCTTTTTCCATTTTGATTGTTTTAAGAATGTGATATGTCTGTAAATGACTATCATTTATCATGATACCTGAGTGTTTCTCAATAAGGATTTTAGAAAGTGTTTCACAGTAGATATACCCAAAGTGTTGTTTACCGCCTTTTAGTTATTATAATTGCGTCAGTTATTGAATGACCAGTGAATTATACAGATCATGTTGAGTTGTAACATTAAGTTGTTCTAAAAAATAAATGACAAATCTTTATGCTCCAATATAGCATCCAAGTTCCTTTATTTTATCATATATAAATTAAATTTTCAAGTAAACTTTTCTAGTGAAGCATCATACCTGGTAATGAGATTGCATCTTGCCAATCGTTCGCAAACGACACAGCCCCTTGTATATGACTTCCTTTATTGCAATTCAGTTGACAGGTGAATACAGATCCACTCATGACAAGTAGTGGGCATTTAAGCGTAATATCAGCCGGAGTTATCAGTTCATAAATCATTAATGCTAAACTTGCTGAGCCAGTCTAAAATATGAAAGATTTGTAGTAAATTCAATTTTTCTAATTAAGCAATTATGAGCATAATCAGACTTTCATAAGATATATGATATATTCAGAGACAAATATAAGTATTAACTTTGTGTCGAAACTAGATCTTTCTCTATAGGGCATCCTGAAGTATTGGTAACAAAAAAATAGGAAATTCATCTACATATAGATTTTGTCAGTTAGAACCGAAATACAAATGAGACTAAATTAGGAAAACTCTTTTGCTGGGGAAAAAACTCGAAAAAGGATTCATTAATATTAAAATAATCTCTAAGAGAATAGATATCTTAATACAATTATCATGAAATAAGTAACAAGGCATAAATTGTAATGGTTTAATTAAATACTGACCATAACGTTAATGATGATATGTATTCAGATAACATTATTTCGTGAATAAACTGAGAAATGAGGATGTATATTTCTGAAATCACTATAATTCCAATGGAATAGTTGCTTTTACACCTTGGTCTTAGTACTTTTTAAGGTGGTGCCAACTTATAATACGAAATATCTGAAAATCCGGGTACTCTTTATTTCTGTACTTATGTATGGTTTGCTCTGTAAATGAACATCAACGCGTTTCTCTAGATTATTCTCTTTTTTCTTTTGTTTAACTAAGATAAAATACGCCATGAAACACAGCACAACTATCGTTGTGCAACAGCTGTTTTAGTTTTTCTTGGTCTTACTTTTGTCCAGTTGTTGCCAACCATTCTTGTATCACATAACAACGGTTTGTCATACCTTCTTTATCGGTAAAGTTTTTGTACAACCTGTGAATAGGATTTATGTAGATTGTTGGTTCTTTGTCCTTCCAGCTGTGTTGACTTCATATCTGTTGTAGCTATTAGCACTGAGGTTGTTAGTTCAGAGAACTTCAGGGTTTCTATGTTCGTTTTTATTGGTTGGTTATGTTGTAGGTGGCAGGATCTAATATGTCTATGTAGCCATTCCATTGTTATGTATGACTTTGAGTAGTCTACTATCAAGAACTTGTGTCCTTCTGTTTCTGAGGAATCCTGAGTTGTAAGATGATTATTTCTTAAGTGTCTGTTCATCTCTTTTTTTGCTACGAATATTCGACTGAACTTTATGTTTGTGCCTACGTATATTTGCGTTCGTTGGTCAATTATTTTCTGCTTGTACTCTCCTCCATTATTTAGTTTAATCTTAGTCGGGTGTTCTGCACAATTCGATGGTGATTGGTCTTTGAATACCTCAAAGTCCAGCCTTAGCTGTCTTAGCTAACATTTTTTGTGGGCTTTTCGTGAAGTGATTTTATCTTCTATGATCTTTTCGACAATATTGATCGTCAAGTTGTTTGATCTTTTGTGAGCAGTTTACCAGGTGTTTAGTCGGTTTTGCTTGACTTTGATGAGAATGTTTGAGTTACTAGTTTTATCTTTTAGTTCCTCCATTGTGAGATCCTTTCGGTTGTTTATTCTAAGAATCACTGGTCTTGTTGAATTGAGGACAACTTCTAGTGTCATCACGTTTTTTTTTATTAATAATATTGTCTCCGGACTGTAGATTAAGGTGGGAATTATGGTAGATTCTGTTAGCTCCTTTCTGGTTGGTAGACCGATACTATTTGATCTCAATAGTGGTCAAATTTTGATTATTGCGTGACAAGCTTTAGTGACGTCTAGGTTAATTGCATCATCAGGTGCATATGCTTCAGTGATTGTCTGGGTCTATTTTCTTACCTTTATGTTTGTAGGTTCTGATAACGTCCACATCAATCTAGTGGCGTGGCATTTTATCTGTTTTACCCCATAATTCGTTTGCCATTCCTAACGAAATGTTTTCAGTTTGCGTTCTCCTTATATTATCACTTCGGTTGTGATGTTATTGTCTCCAGGAGCATTATTATTTTTCAGTCATTTCATGGTTTGCTCTAGCTCATTTAGACAAATTTTGCTGGGTTTTTTTTGTGGTTTGGTTCTAAGTGTGTAATGATCATTTGTACTATGGATTTTTGGCTGAATAGGTCTTGATAGTGGTCTTTCAGTGTTTGGTTACTTATTTGTGCAATTGGTTTTGTTTTGTACAAACTTTGGTTGTTCATTATCTTTAATATAAGGTTTAGCCATTTATTCGCTTGATGTTGTTCATTTTGTGTGAAGAGTTGGTCAATGTTAACCAGTTCTATCTGAATGTAGTATTCTTTATATTGTTTCCCTTCTGATGTAGTTGCTTTGATTTAGCTCTGTTGGCTCGTTGAGTCACTTTTTTATTAGTTTATGTTTCTCTCTGATTTCTTCTTTACAATGGTAAGTTAGTATACCTAGCCAAATATGTTGAGCTGATGTGATCCTAGCTTTTTTGGAAATTGCAGGTGCAGTGTTCAGTATGGTTGGTTCATTTTGTTTGAGACTGAAGTTCTTCCTCAGATTGTCCGTTAGAGTTTGGACATATTGTATTGGGCTCATACGTAGGGATGTAATCCATGTTCCTTTCCTCTTGTGGTGGCTATGGAGATTTTTACTCAGTGCCTTGTTTATTCTAGAAATATCCGTTACTAAGTAGTGCTCGAAATTTGAATAAACTGATCAACTTTTGTGGACAACACATATTTGGAAGTCCGTTCTTCTCTCAATTGGCATCAGACCTATCATTTGACCACTAAGCGTAACCGGTTTGTGCTTGGTTTCATTTACACAGTCTGTGATACCATATGAACAAATAAGCCATTGGAATTTTTCGCTACTCAAAGCAAAATACATAGTCCACTGATCATCCCGTATTTAGGTTAATATCCCAAAGTTCTAAATGAAAACTTCAATTGATGTGTTAAGCAAGCTTAGGACGTCTATGAATACCGATGGATTAAAAAATATGATGTATACGTTAAATTGTGAAGTGATTAAGATTGTGAAGACTTACCTTTGTATTACAACTCAGTAGCTGAGTAATAGCATAATTGTCACCAAACCTGATGTATCATGACAGCATCCCTTAGATAATATCAGATAAGTCTGAAGCAGCATTATGATTTATCCTCCCTCCCCCCCCCCTAAAAAAGAACTACTATTCTGATTCTGTTGCCTTCCCAAATAAAATATTTCCTAGAGTATGACCACAGCCGTGGCAGATAGAAAATGATGACATCAATTATATTCTGAGATCTTGTTACACTACTTGCAAGTAGGTAGTTTATATCTTAAAAATTTAGATGCTTTTTATCTGGATATACAGTCGGTAGCTTGTGACATGATGACTAAGTCGGCACATAAGAAATAACTCATTCGGTAAAGTGCTAACTGATCCCTTAAAAACTGCACTCACTATCCTCTATTACTGGTTATCGGTGTGGTTATTAAACTGATAGATAAAACACTTCCAGTGTACTGTATTTCACGTCACGTTTATAAGAGCTTTTGACACGTCATGATCACGTACTTTGTTTGTGGCATTTAATAATAAATGAGTTCTGCACTTAATTCACTTAGTATTGTCTTACTTGATCTTTCCATTGATATTTTAGGACTGAAATTGATCAGTCTCTTATTGGCATATGTGCATACTGTGCGTATGCCTCGATATTGCCTTAATTTACAAGCATTATAAGCAAAGATGGATAGTGGCTAGCAGTGGAATCCAGGACACGCGTTTCGTCCTGCTTAGGACTCGTCATCTGGATGTACTTGCATCTCAGAGTTGATATTCACTCTGGGACTCGGACCCAGTACCGTTTGCTTCAAACGCCATCACGTTATCCACTTAGCTACTGAGTCCTGATAGCCACTTGCTTGTGCAATGGGGTGAAGTTTAATTCACTTGATATTGTTTTACTTGAATCTTCCCATTGATGTTTTAGGACTGAACATCAACTCTGAGATGCAGGTACATCCAACTCACCAGTCCCAAACAGAACGAAACGCGCGTCCTGGATTCCACTGCTAACCACTATCCATAGAGTTCTACACTTGTTGGTTGAAGAGAACTCGTCCATCATCCACCAATAAGTTCTCTTCTGTGACTAACTACCACAAAGTTATTTTATTCAAATACGAACAGCCCAAAGTTAACAAGTTTTTATTATATAACTTGATAATACTAGTTCAGTGGTCGAAAGCTTGATAACTTATTTTTAATCCCATGGGGAACCGCGTGTGCACGTTGTTCAGTATTCCAAAATGTGAACGAAAATTCTATCCTATGTTTTCTGATTTTTAGTAGTTATCAGTTCACGATGTAAACTAAGAATCAAGCAGTCTCCATAAAAATATTATTGAAATGCTAATGCAAGTTATGGTGTTGTGTCTGGAAATTAACGTATAATAAAAAAATAATATGAATGTTGTTATAACGAACAAAGAATAAACGAATGGTAACTTCTAGGAATTATCTATGAACTGTTATTACATATATTCCTATTGGACAACTTTTGAGTAATTAGATTGTATGTATATTCATATTCCTTTTATCATAAGCTTTCATTTAACCAATTGGTTACTGTTATACGATTTACCATTCTTAACTTATGCCCAATTTATTAGTTACAGTATCCCATACCCAAAGCCACTTTGGGCTCCATCTTGTATAATTTACTGGGTTTTTATTTATTTTACGGTGTGAAGCGGTCTGGTTTGTTTATATATGAACCGCGTATGTCTGAAATTTACGGTTCATACTGAGAATGCTTTTATTTATGTCCTCGACTGAACGGGCTGGATTAGGCAAAAATTTACTATACAGGGCATCGATAAGGACTCAGACATGACTCGAGGTTGCTCGTGCTGGTTAATGCATAATTGGTTTATCACAGGGACAAGTTCATATAACTTTGTGTTCTGAGTGGCGATTTTGTCACGTGATAATTGACAGGGCTATAAGAAATAAACTGTGTCCTGTTTGGTTATCAAATAATCTTAGAGGAATTTGTTATAATCATCTATGTCGTCGTCAACATAGTAAATAATGTCTTAATGATTAAAAGTGTCTAG